TCTACCTGGGAGGGAAAGCACCATCGGATCCAAAGATGTGGTCGCCAGACATGAAAGCAGTCCGGGCAACGATCAAGTACGCAATGGGGACAGGGAGATTGGATCTTGACGAGGAACAACGAAGATTGGGACAATCACAGTAGCGGAACTCCACTAACACTACACAGCCTCAGCCAGCAGATCCCGCTTTAGCTGCTGAAGATAGGACGCTGAACACTTGGAGAACGCAGCCTCCAAGTCGATCTGCTAAACTAAGTCAGGAGGCAACAGGTGGCGTGAGAAAAGGGGAGAGAGTAGAGGGCTTGTACGAGTTGATGGTTGAACGTCAAGGAATTGGATGTAGTTAGCGTGCCAAGGCCCTTTAGGCTTCGCGCCTCCGGGCGAAATAAATTCCATCCATCCATCCATCACCCCCTGGCACTCCAGAGTGGAAGATACGGATCCTTCGGGGTCTGCTTCGGAGACCACGCTAACATACAATGAGCCTCAGGCCGGACTTCAAGAAAACGTGGTGGGTTGTCGGTTCGGCGCACCTCGAGCGAGAGAGGTCGTAGTGAAGACCCTGCCGACCTCGATTGGCACGCTGCCTGGTTATCCGCCCAGCATGCGAAACTGCCCGCAACTAACACAAGTCTGCGTGTTTTTGGCCGGTCCATCTGTGACAAACATGTTTTCAATGCCCTCTATGACTACATCGGACGTTATGCACGGGACAATCGGGGATTCAGTGTGGACAATGTTATTGAATACCTCGACACGGAGAAGGCTTTTGAAGATGCGGTCGATTACGCCTTCGACTCAAAGCGATTCCTGGTGTTTGCTATCCTGGGTTGGCAGTCAATGATCTATCAACCAGCATTTAACGTCTGTCCTCCGAGCCAACTCACGATTCACCATGATGCCGGCAACCCCGACTCTGGACTGGTCTTCGACGAGTACACCGTCTCTGCCGAGATGTGTGATCGTCCACTCCACGTTCTCCTCAAGAGCTTTGGCAATCTCCTCCCCGCGCGCTCCAGCAACACGGCTCTCGCGGCGGTAGAAAGCAGCAAAGCAGCAGCATCATGGACCGCCCTCTATCCGAGCGAACTCAATGTCTATCTTCTACATGCTTTACTCCGAGTACGGTTCCGGTGGGTCGACACGCTCGCCTTGCATCTCGATTATGACAGATCTACTCGGACCCTCTCGCTGTTCAGTTTTCCCTCCATACGTATCTCACAACTGAGGGAGCGGAGTGGGACCATCTTCGCTTTCACCAGCACCGAAATGCAGCCCGTGGACCCCCGAGCTGACGAGGACGACATTGCTCACTTTCTCGAGGAGGTGCTCCTCTCGTTCCGACTGCTCTTTGGCCAGTCGGCTAAATCTCGCAAGCTGTTTCGCCACATCGTTAACCCAGCTCAGATGCTGTCCCCGCAGCCGGACATGCTCCTCCCTCTTTTGTGCTCGGAGAAACACCCATTTGCTGGTGTTTCGGAAGAGAACTGGACGCCCAGGGACCGGCGTGTCTACTTCGCGGCACGGGACTTCCCGGTTATGTACGAGAGGGTCGAACATCTCGCAAAGGAGTTGAACGGGATCAAACCGAAGTCGATGGGGGATCTACTACGCGACAGACGGGACACTCTGCAGTTCTGGACGTTTTGGCTTGTGGCTGCTGTCGGAGGGGCGAGCGTGGTTTTGAGTCTGATTCAGGTAATCTTGCAAGCCATTCAGCTTGCGCAAGGGGCTGGAATTGGATGAGAGAGAAACGGGTGTTGTGAGCAGTGTACGTGTTGAACAGCTCGAAGTGGTGTATGAATTGTGGCATGGGCTGGTTGTCGTCACCATCTCGCCAGAAAGGCATGAGACTTGCCCACCAGCTGCCTACCACAACATCCAGCTCACCAGGCGCATGAAACCCTCATCAGCATCCTCGTCCGGCCATTCTCTCCCCTCGATGCCATCTCGCGCCACACGAGCCGTCTGCCTGAGGTAGGCCACGTCGTCCTCATGGCCATTCATCTTGGCTTCCATACCCGCAGAGAACCAAAAAGCCCTAGCCAGATGTGCCCTCATCTCTGGCGCGTCACCACAAATTTCCAAGACTTCCCTCATCATCCTGCTCGCCAGTACAGTCTCCCCGCCGTCCTCCAGCATCCGCGCCGCGGTGAAAAGCGAGTCGGCGACCCTCGGCCCGCCCCTCTCCCCATAGACACCACGCCGCATTTTGATCGTCCGCGACGCGAGCTCCTGCGCCTCAGCCTTCCGGCCCTGCAGGCACAGGATCCGCGCGAGCATCATAACGTCCCCGCTGTGCTTGGGGTACCGTGACGCCTCGACCTGCTCCTGCGTCAGGCCCTGCAGCCGCCAACACTCGCGGATCGCGTCGAGTGAGCGCTCGGCCTCGCCTGCCCGCAGGCACGCCAGCGCGCGGATGGCCAGCGTGCGCGACATGTTACTGGGGTCGTACGCGTGGTGGATCGCCGTCGCCCGGTCGAGGTATGCCGTGGCTTGGTCGACGTCGCCTAGCTCGGTGTAGGCGCACGCCACCGAGTCGCAGACGTCGGCGACGCCGGTCGAGGCTGCGCCCTCGAGCTGCTCGCGTATGGCGAGCGCCTGTTGGTACGCGGCCAGGGCCGCGGGCAGGCGGGCAAGATCGAGGAGAGGTGGCCCAGGAGTCTGTATGTCTGTGCTTTGATGGGGGCGGAGACGATATCGTCGATCTTGAGGGCGTATTCGAAGAAGGTTCTGGCGAGTGAAGGCTGTTCCTTCTCCCATAAGTAGCTGCAGTTGTATGAATAAAGACATGGGTCAGTCCAAACATTTCAGTCCACAGAGACGAAGGAAGTGAGGGTAGTTGATGCTGGTGGCTCACGTTCCAGCTCTGCAGATCAACTCCGCCCACTGATCAGGGGCTGATGGCTTGAGCTTGTTTCTCTCGGACAACTTCATGAGCCAGCTCACGTGCGGCAAGACGGCGCCGCAGGTCTCCCACGACGCCCAGCCATGGCCCTGATGAGCACCCCTCTGCTGCCAGGTGTTTGGGAAGCCGAAATACAGGAACCGGATTGCGGAGTCGGGGTTGACTACTAGGTCGGAGTTTGATTGCCTGAGAAAGACGGCGAACTGGACCAGACGGTGCATGGACAAGGCTTTGGACCCAGAGAGTCTGCTGATCAAGGACGTCCGGTTCAACTCGACGGCCGCCTCTCCAAAGCTGAATAGAGGTACATTGTAAGAAGCGGAACTGGTTGCGTCCTCACCGATGTGGGCACTTACTCAAACTCGTCAAAGAGGAACTCCAGGCGAGGATTTTGAAGCTTAACCTTCGTGTTGGTTATGAGCCGCTCTGGAATCTCGTCAGGGTCAAAGAAGACAAGCAGATTCTGTGAATGTGGTTGCCTCGGCGGAAAGCTTCTGAAGCGAGATCTCCCAGGTAGTCAGGAGAGTGTGGTCATACTCGACTGGCCGCTCTGACTTGGCAAAGATCTTCTCTGCGGACTTCTCGTACATGCTCAGAAACTCTCGGTAAGAGTAACCTCGTTCGCGGATGAAGTGCTTATCTGCACCATGGCCAGAAGAAGACCCCCAATGAGACGACAAACATCGCCTGCTGCCGCCTTCACCTCCTCGTTCACGGGTTCCAGTCCAGTGAGAGATCGCAGTACGTCTGTCCCATCTTCCGGCAAGAATGAGGCGAGCGCAATGGTTGCAGTCACCCGCCCGGCAGCTTGCGAAGGAGATCTGCTTGTTACGATGAGAGAGCCTTGACTGCTGGCTGGCCAGATCTAGTCTAGAACCTCAGTCTTGTCGACATTGTCGAAGATCAAAAGAAACGGCTTCCCCGCCGTGTTGAGCCAGTCTCGAACCTTGCCAACGTTCTCATAGTCGTCCTCGCTTGCTCCATCGGCCAGCCCGAGCTTGTTCGCGAGACTGGATACAGCCTGAACAAGTTTGATCTGAGTCTCGGCCGGGGTCCAGGCGATTTCGTAGATGCCCATGGACGTGTTGGCAAAGTGGAGAGCAAGTTGGGTTTTCCCAATACCGCCGAGTCCATGGATGTCAACGGCACGTAGCTGAGCCCCTGGGTTGGGCGGCCCCTCACGGGGTGAAGAGCATCCTTCAGCGTCTGAAGCTCGGCGTTTCTCGCGAAAAACCTAAGGTTCAGTCCGTACGGTATCATATGCACGGCAATTTCGCGTTGTTCGAACGAATCCGAAGTCCTTGAAACTCCCTAAGAGCGGCCACAGTCTCAGCGGTATGGATCTCCTTAGACAGTCTGATCATGTCTGCTGCTTCATCAACCCGCCTGGAGTATTTCCGAACATTAGCAATGACTTCGGTCGAGTCGCGGCTGAACTTGGACCAGGCATTGCGGTTCCTGGCGACGTTGGGGTTGTTGCGAAAAAAAGCGATTACATGAGCGCAGAAGACGATGATTTCGCCGTATAAGTCAAGGAGCGCCTTCTCTAGAGATTCTGTCATGGGTAATTCTTGTTCGTACTTCTGTATCCGCGGCAGTGAACTTTGAAAGCTTTCAAGCATCTCATTGACATCTGGCAGAACGGGCTGGGCGAACTTTGAGGGTCACCTGTGTAAGACATCGCAAGACACAAGATCAGGACTCTCCCCGAATTGCAAAAGACGTACCTTGATTATAAGCCGGATGGAGCCCCCGAGGACTGCGTCGAGTTTGCCGTTCATGCCCACAGCCCATGCGGTAACTGCCACGAAGTCGTTGAGACCAAGCACGATAGGCTGCAGTCGGCTCATCGCCTTGCTCCAAGCATTCGATTGAGCGGCTTGTATGGGAACGAGAGCTTCGATTTGAGCAATGAGCTCGTCCGGCCCGCTGACGTCCCACAAGTCCTTGTCGATCATGGACGCCTTGATTCCACCCTTTGCGAGCTTGCCATAGTACTTTTCTATGGCTGCTTGCCAAACGGGGTTCGTGGGGCTCCGCGACACTGCCCCATTGTTTGTGTCGAAGCAGACATGTCAACCGGCTTGAACCCGCATCGACGGAGATATGTCAAGTAGCGCAGGTCAGCTGGATTTGGTGCAGGTATGGCAAGAAACAGACGTGTGAGTACCGCGATACCGTTAAGAGAGATGCCATGACTAATAGCGGAAATGAGTCGAAGATACCTCCGTACTGTTCGGAGAAAACCTGGGAGGGCCGCCGACGAGAAGGCGGGTTGGCTACCCGAGGGATCATTGCGGTGGTATCGGGGTAGCCCCAACATGCAGGAGGGCTTGGCAAGGCGTCCATGATAAAAACTCGACGTTTATGTTGGAGTGACTGTAATCCGGTGAGCCATTGTTCTCAGATTTGATGACATGAAAGCAACAATTCCGCAGAAGAGAAAGCTGATTCGAAACGTCAAGCATCACCCGCAGCGGCACCCTGTCATTCAGGCCCGGGCCCACTGGCGTATGAACTCGATCGCTGTGTAAGATAATATCCTGAAAATCAGGGGTCTATTTCACGAGTGGATAATGATCTAGTTCTTCTACAATCAAGCTGACGAAAGGGAATTTGCCCCGAGATCGTGATTTCGGGGCAGGTTTCCGCCAATACTGCTGCGGACATGGCAAGCCCGCATAGTGCTGACTCCATAACGCCGGTGACCATAACTATACTGGCATTTGAGACTCATAAAGAGACGCTTGTAAGATGGCGCAGGAGAGAGGGGTTCTTCAGAATGGCGATTTGTCGTCATATCTGCTCCTCAGCCACGTCTCCGCTCGTCACCTCCGAGTGAGACGAGAAGCATTCTCAAGCCTCACTTCTCAAAGGACGCTGCCATTGTGAGTTGTCAGACAACCTGTGGTTTGCGAATGTAGCAGAGAGCCTGATGAAAATGTATGCTGGATATTGGCGGGCGGAGAGGATGAGGACGTTGTTCAGCCGCCATAGCTTCTGATCGGAGGTGCAGTCAGATTTAGTCGGCCGGCAGGCAACTTTGGTGCTGCAGATGGTGCTGCAGTATCCGTTGATGGCCAAAACCGCCATCGGGGCCCAGTGGCCGAGTCCGTATCGGTATGGAAAGGACGCGTTCCGTTCCCCATTGTTGTAGTCCGTCAGTCCGGAGCGCGACATACCCGGGTTAGTTCGGGAACGCTAATGGTCCGTCAGGCCAGCATCTCGTCGGGTGAACAAGTCCGTGTCTGACACCGCGAATGGCTTAAATTACTGCTTGCAGTGGTAATTGATGTGCACGGAGTTCTCCTCACGGCCTGGGCACGTCTTGATCGAGGGTGTGGATGTCGGGCCGCTGGCTGTGCTGGGCCACGGCCATGAACCGCAAACCAGCTCCCGGCACGCAGAGAGTTCACCTAGCGGGCAAGATCTTCCTGATGTATTCCCGCGCGAGCCTCAAAACGGCCCGGACATGGTCCTCTAGCCGCCTATCCTTTCGTTTGCGCATCCAGAGAAGCAGCAGGAGCAGGATAATGACGTCGGCCGTAATGTGCTTCGTGACCGTCCAGAAGAACCACCTGGTCCAGGCCAGCACGCCGCGCTCTTTGCGAGACCGCCACTCGCGCCCGGTAGCGATCTGCTCCCGCAGCGCCGCAATCTCGGCTGATAGCCGGACGATAGCTCGCTCCATCCTCTTGGACCGCTTGTCGTTTCGTCTCGCGAACTCGTTGGGATCGTCCTCGACTTGGTCCGCCAGCTCGGCCACGCGCCGTTCCGACTCATCCTCCTCGCTCATGGGACTGAGCACCTTCATCGGTCCGTCACTGCCGCTCAGTGGAGGCAAGAACCGACGAATGCTGGGGCTCGCTATAGCTTCACCGCCAATCCCACTCCTTTGTTCACCCGATGCTGGCCCGCTCTGTCCCGATGACGACCCTTCGGCACTCGGGGTGTTGCTCTTGACTTGGTTCCAGACAAACTCGAGCTCGGCGACCAGCTCCAGGGCGTTGGGCGTGCTGGCGTACTTGTGCATGGTCTCGATGAGCGCCTCGACGTAGCGGCGCTTCGCTTCGGTGCGGCTCAGGCTCTTCTGCGAGTTCCACGCGTCCCACTTGTCCTGCTCGCGCACAATCTCCTCACTGCTGCCTGCACCGGTCGCGGAGCTGGTTGTGGGCCGCTCCATGACGCCGTCAACGTCGCCTTCCATGGCTTGCTTGTAAAGACCGTAGAGGCGCATGCGATCCGAAGGCGGCGGCCGAGCGGCCCCGGTTTTGGGGATTTTCTTGACCGTGTTGAGCGCATGGACGAAGACTCGGTCTGGTGATGGGCGAAACGTGAGTCTGGTGTGCCATTTTCCGCGTCATGGTTGGGGATTGCTAATGCTCACCAATTGAATCCGACATTGTGCTTCAGACTTGATACCGTCCCCTCGAAGCTGCGAATCTGAAGTTGTAGTCCCCGAGGATGGCGCAGTATCGTTGGGTTCGGCAAGCTCGGTGCTGCTTCGTTATGGGTGATTGTTCTCGAAACGGAGGGGTAGCTTGATGATGTCGGCTGTTGTTGACTCGCTGCAGGAAAGAATGCTACCGCGTTTCGAGAAGACGTGAGGTGGGTCGATTCACTCGGCAACTAAACCGTCATGTGGTCAACTCACTTCGGCGCCATGAGTCGGTTCCTCGCGTCATGTTTTGCAGGTGATATCCGAGCATGGCGCCCCACAGCCTGAAGACGAACCGACGGCTTCCAGGTTGTGCCTCGGCACGCTACCCGGCCCACTTCCCCCAACAATGCAACCCTGGAGATGCGGAATTGACACGGGAAACAGGGGCAGAGATCCACTTTATTTCAGTGGGAGAGTTTTGCTTCAACACGTGAAAGTCGGCAGGACAACTCCGTACCTAGAAGGGTTTACTGTCCACAGACAATGCCCCGTTGTGACCTTCAGTTCCAGGCTCTGGGTTCCATGTTTGTCGCACCAGGATTGGGATGATCTCAATGGACACTCCTTACAAGAGAAGACATAATGTTTCAAAGGGAGTTGAGGTAACGCGAGGCCTAGCGCTCTGCCGCCTTCCGAAGCCCCTTTACAGCCCATGTGTCAATGAGAACACTGGAGAGGATTCATGGGTATACACCCCAAGCACGCGAAGGGACAGAGATGAAGTGTGGCTAAAAGTCAACAAGAGCTAAACTCTGGGGAAAGAAAAACTGCTCCTGGCGTGGCCATAATTGAACAGATGATGGAGAGTTTCACAAGCAGTTGTCTCTCGATCCACTGTTGTCGCCTACCTAAGCCATCACCATGTGCCAACTGCATTACACACGCCCTGTTTGTTGCTCGTAGATCCGGCTGCGCCCTATGTCTCACCCAATTTCGCAGATTTTGCAGTTAAGCCAGCCAAATCTGTCTCCCGAACACAAGCTTCAGGTCACCGACATAAGCATGGGCGATGGTGATTGCCGGCGAAGTGTCTTCAACCAACACACATCTCGATGGGTATCCTGATTTGATATTGAAAATGCTACACGTGTATACATTCATGACTGTGTTCAGCAGTCAGCCTTGCGCCTCCTTTCCTGTCGGCGCCGCCTTCTCGGCCTGCGCCGCCCTGGCTGCCTGAAGAGCCTTTTTCTTCTCGGCAAACCTTTTTATCAGCTTCTTGTTCTCCAGCGCTTTGGCCGCTGCCTTTTGCCCGGCCTCCTTCTTGCCCACTGCCTGACCATAGCCCAATTGCAAGTCCGTCTCGCCCCAACCGTTCAAGAAACAGCCCACGAAGAACAGCTCCATTCCAGTATCCCTGTCCTTCTTCCCATACGGTGGCATGTCCCGGTACTCGATCTTTACCCCCGGCGCACCGATCAACGACTCTAACTCCGTCTTTGGGTTGGTATCCTTGTTCCTCACCCCTCCACCGCTCTCCTCCTCACGGATCTGCCTCTCCAATACAGGACCCCACAGCACCTTCATCCACTCAGCCGCCCTCCGCAATCCGTTCTCCGGATCCGACCTCACCACCGCGCCGACGTACGCCTCAAAAATATCCCCGAGCGCCTTTGCCCGCTGCTTGTCGGAGACCTTTGTCCCGTTGGGCCGCCCGCCCAGCCCAAACTCGGCGGGGAAGTTGGCCCGCTTGTCCAGGCCGTAGTGCACCGAGAACCGGCCCAGCGTCGAGTTGCGCACCAGCATCTCACGGTAGTGCGACAGCTTGCCCGGGTCCAACGAGGGAAACGTTTGGAAGAGGAACTCGGACGCGATCAGCTCCAGGTACACGTCTCCGACCCACTCGAGCTTTTCGTAGCTCGGGTCGGATAGGCTCTTGCGCATGCCTGAGTGGGTGAGCGCTGCGGTCTCCAGGGAGGCATCTAGGACCGGGGGAAGAGGTGGATAGGATTTGGTGATGGTGGAGGAGGTCCATTTTGTGAAGGTTGTCCACGAGGGTATCTGGGACGACGGACCGACGACATTGGGTTTTGTGCGTTTTGTAGCGGGTTCACTGGTTTGTATTATCGTGGGCGGCGCGGCCGCTGACTCGTTATGAGGGCGTTTTGGCATTTTGATGGCAATATGCGTGGTGACTGAGAACTGAGGATGAGATAGATCGATCGTGAGTGAACTTGGAGGATTCAAAGGCTCATGATCCACATGGTCTTGGCAATTCCCGACGCCGCATGTCAGCCACAAAAAACTGGAGCGAGTAGCAAGGACAAACGGGCGACCTACCGTGATTCAGTGGGGACAAAGATATCACGATAGCAAAATCGAATCCAGTCCACTATCGTGCTCGAACCGCTGGCATCTTGGCTGCGAAAGGCTATGGTTGTTCAATGGATGCAATGCCCCAACTCCAAGGCCAACCGGCTGGAATCTTGGCACCTGCAGGGCAGCCTTGCTGCCCCACGCACCGAATCTGATTGGAAGCGGCCAAGCCCACAGAGATCGTCTTTCAACGTCGAGCCCTCACGCTTTCTTGCATGTCCCGCTTGAGCAGGTCCGCGTATTTTCATGTAGCAGCAAAAATGTCGGTTCCTCGCGCGCGCTTGCTCGACCTGATGAGGGTATGCGCCACTCACAGCAAAAATGAGTGGACAACAACGCTAACCAGGCCAGGCTCGATGCGAGCTCTTCGCGACCACCTTCAACCCCGAGGGCATTCGGACGGGCAACAAGGTCCTGCGACAGCGACTCAAGGGCCCCGCGCTTGCCTCGTACTACCCACGCAAGGTCATGACCTTCCGCGACTTCCAGAAAGAGTTTGAACCGCTGGAGCTAGAGATCGAGAACGAGGAAGAGCTCGACCGCCTTGAGCACATCGCAGCGTGCGTCGCCTGGTCCCGCAGACTGTTTCCCTTGCGCAAGGCTGACATATCACAGTTTGAAAGCTCGCGGGAAGGGGGCACCGAAGAAGAAGAGGGAAGCCAGTACGTTCATGGCCTTGTCTTGTCCCGATTCCCTGAACTGCGCTAACGGTCTGTAGACACCAAGAAGAAATAAGCGCTCGGGTACAGAGACGATGTATGCAATGCTTGTACCATTATTGTATAGAAAAGGGAAAAATAATACCCGGCATGATATCACACCATCCCCCTGACGAGCCCACGGACTGGTTCGCAGCCACCATTCTGGCCGGTTCTCGCCTGAAACCGCATTGCAGCTGGGATCGGTGAATTTGTGGTTTTCAAGAACCTGATAACCTCACTTGCTCTTTTCTAGTGCATTCATGCTCGTTGACTGATTACAGAAAAGCGTTGGGCACGAATCTTCTGAGATGAAAGGTGTGTTGCGATCTCAAGTGGTTTTTATCAGGGGCGACGTGGAAGGCACCTTTGTTCTTCTCCCTTCGGCTAACTTATCACACATAGGAAACGTGGTTTTCCATATTGCAGGTGGCATGTTCATGAAATATGGCATTGAAATCCCAGGCTGCTATTTCAGTCATGCGGAAGCGGGAGTCAAGTGCACTTGGCCGTCCGAGGTAAGGCACTCCGGCGAGTTCAACAAGTGCACAGGGCAACTGCAGAGAATGCTCTGATCTTCAGTGGACGGTGACTCTCGTTTATCATTGTACCTACTCTCTAGGAGATTCGGCCTTGGTGAATCCAAATGGGAAACTGCACCCGTCTGAATACCGGAGATTCGGCCCCATATCGGCCCCACTTTTAGCCGGGTTTGGCCTAAGGCAGCGCCGATATGGAGGCGCCCGGCCGGCACCTTCTTTCACAGCTCCGACTGATGAGCGGATTAGGCAGGTCAGGCCCAATCTTGTGCCAATACCGCCAGCTCTTTCCTCAAGATAATAACTACCTTGGACTGGAACATTCAGGCATCCATGAACAATTGATCACCTCCAGAGGGCTCCTGCACTGACTCCTCTGTTTTCTCTCTGTCGACCTCTACCTCGTCCCTTCCGCACATCTACAACCTCAAGTCGTCCGATTCACAAAGACCTGATTAGCTTAATATTAGATTCAACTAATCAACATCAGCATCACAACTCTAAGTCCACTTCTTCAGTCATATTTGGCACGTTACCGTACGTGGTTTGATCTCGGGTGCCGTCTATCTCATCCGTAAAGGTGAGTAAACCCAGGCTACCCTGCCCCGTGGCCTCTCTCTTGGTCCTGGTTCTGCCTCCGAGATAGGAAAAGGCTCCTGCCTCTTCTCATATCTTTGTTTCTTTCCTCCTCAGAAAATATTCATCTTTTACTCTGCCGGATTATCTTCCACTCTCTCCCGCTCTCCCACTCACTGCCCTGCCACCTCCCGCCGACCTCATTTACTTCTCAAGTCTAGACTCAGATCTACTTCTTTTGAAAATTTCGATCATTTTCTCACTCTGTCAGAACCGCAGTCACCAGAACGCGTAGTCACACTCCGAACCAGCCGCCGCATCCATCCCACGGACGACGCCATGTCTGCTGCTACTGCTGTCGTCGGTGCTGTTTTGGCAGACTCCCCGAACGAGTGTCACGGATCCGCCACCAAGAACCTTCCGCAGGATAAGAACGCGAACATCTTCGAGGATCTGGGAGCCCACGATTCCAAAGTAAGTGTCTCTACGTTTCTTCAATCCCGACGTATCCTGCATCTCTATGTTTCCGCTGCCCCTCAATCTTGTTTTTCTTCTGGTTAGTTAAGGGGGCTTTCAAAGTGGCTACGGCTTTGTTGTCTTCTCAACTTCTCTTCTATTTTATTTCTTGCGTAATATAGACACGGAAACTTTTTGTCTAACCTTGATGCTTCAGGACCCAGCAGCAGCCCTGACTCTCAAGAAAACTGTAAGCGCTCTGACATCCCCCCAGATGGCGAATCAGAACTGCACCAAGGTGAGTGACGGCTATTCCAGAAGACGCAGTGGTCGGACTGATCATGACAGAAGTTGAAGATCAAGCACGACCCGCCGTCTCCTACTGACTCGTATCCGATGGACAAGCTCTACGCTAAGCTCTCCGAGCAGCACTCCATCATGCAGCAGCAGAAGGAGGCGCAAAAGACCCGGGATGATGAGAGTTTGTTCACTGGGGGGTTCGATCATAATTATTCGTGCAGCTCTCTACCCCTCACTCCGGCTCTCGAGGGCCTTCCGAAGGCGGCGCCGCCGACAGCCAGATCTGCAAGCGCGACACCTGGTGAGGGCCAGGTCAATGCCGAGGAAATCTTGCGGCTGAAGCTCGAGCTCGCCCAAGCCCAGAACAAGATCTCCCGCCTCGACCAAGAGCTGTCGCGGGTTCAGCCGGAGAGTGAATGCGGAACCCCAGCCCTTGTTCCCGAGCACGACTACACACCTCTCGTGGCGCATCCCGCCTCTCCAGTCGCCTCCCGGATCGGTGCCAGCAGCATGGCACTCAGCGCACCCCTCAGACCGGCTCCATTCTCTCGGGAGCACAGCTGGACAACCCAGGAGGAGGCTCCGCAGGATGTTGGTGATTCTTTGCCGGCCGCTGGCTTGAATCGTCCTCGAGGCATCTGGAACAACAAGCCGGCTTTTGGCACTTCCTTCTCACAGGGCCAAGCGATGATTGATGGCACCCAACCCGTACCGTGGGGCAATAACCGTGTCGTCAACTATGAGCCCACTTTCGCATCGTCGGGCATGGACATGTATCGCCAAGACCGAATGGTTCCTGACCAGGATGTGATGAGACCGATGGGACGCCGTGGGAATCGGTACGACAATCGGTATGGTTCTTCTGGCAATTTTGGGAGCGGCTTCAACAGTTACAGCATGACCCCGGCTCCTTACGAGCATGCGCAGGGTTATTCCACTGGCCCGCAGGGCATGCTGGGCGGAGGTATAGGACTGAGCGTCTACACCCCGTACCACCAGCAGCCCGTTGGCACCGCGCTCTCTCCCCATGCCACTGAGTTCACGTCCATGGGATCGGCGTGGAAAGGCGAGGTGAGTTTTTTTCGCGGCTTGTTTTCTGAGGAGACGAATGTTGACTGTGGGTCCCAAGACTTTGACTGCCGACGGCCAAACCTATATTTCGCCCACCACGGAGCCTCTCAACTATCGGCGTCTGCTCGACCGCAACGTGTCGTGCGACTGGAAGTACATCGTGGACAAGATCGTCTGCAACAATGACCAGCAGGCATCCATTTTCCTGCAGCAGAAGCTCAAGGTCGGGACCCCCGAGCAAAAGTACGACATCGTCGAGGCCATTGTTGCGCAGGCCTACCCTCTGATGATCAACCGCTTCGGAAACTTCCTGGTCCAACGTTGCTTTGAGCATGGCACCCCTGAGCAGGTCATCAAAATTGCCCAGGCCATTCGTGGCAACACTCTCAATCTATCGATGGATCCTTTTGGCTGCCACGTCGTGCAGAAAGCATTCGACTCGGTCCCAGAGGACTACAAGGCCATCATGGTTCACGAGCTGCTGCGACGCATTCCCGAAACGGTTATTCACCGCTACGCTTGTCATGTCTGGCAGAAGCTGTTTGAGCTGCGATGGACCGAGTCGCCGCCGCAAATCATGAAATATGTCAATGAGGCCCTGCGCGGCATGTGGCACGAGGTTGCGTTGGGTGAGACGGGTAGCCTGGTTGTACAGAACATATTTGAGAACTGCCTGGAGGAGGACAAGGTAAGATCCATCGCCCTTGCCGAATCCCTTGGAAGTTGCTGACGGGTATATCGGTAGCGTCCTTGCATTGAGGAGGTCCTGGCCAATATCGACATTGTCGCCCATGGCCAATTTGGTAACTGGTGCATCCAGCATATTTGTGAACATGGTGCTCCGGCGGACCGCGGCCGGGCGATTGATCATGTCATCCGCTATGCTGCCGAGTACAGCATGGACCAGTTCGCTTCCAAGGTTGTTGAGAAATGTCTGAAGATCGGCGGCCCCGACTTTCTGAGCCGCTACCTGGACCGCGTTTGCGAGGGCCGGGTCGACCGTCCCCGGATTCCCTTGATCGACATTGCGAGCGATCAGTACGGCAACTACCTTATCCAGTACATCCTGACCCACGCGGCTCCCCAGCACCGCGAGATTGTTGCCGCCCACATCCGCAAGCACATGGTCTCTCTGCGCGGTTCCAAGTTTGGCTCTCGGGTTGGGATGCTCTGCACCAACCACGCGGTTGCTACTCGCCCAGGTCCAGGGGTTGGCCCGATGCCCGGCCGGATGGCAAGCAGCGCCCGTTACGGCGCCGGCGGCTTCCGCTAAGTTGACTCGATGGCTCGATTCGGATCTGCTGTGCTTCTCTTGTATGGCCTTGGCTACCGAGTCCCTTAGCACCAAATCTCGCGATCGTTTCTCGAATGGGAGTTCTCCTTCACCATATGAGACTCTGTTTTTACGAGCATCTTCGTCAGCACCTAATTTTCCAAATCACCCGACATCCTACGCTCGGGAGGCTACTGCCCATTCGAGTGCCTTGGACACATCATGATTACGGATTTTGCAATATTGAGCGGTTGCAGAACCCGTTCCGTGGGAGGCTGAATCTGTCGTGTCAAGATCTAGTGGGACAGTCACCAACACACCTCTTCCAGTCTGGGTCGCTCTGGCATCCGTTTCGAACCCTATATAGCTTCGAGGAATTCATTTTTGGAGGGCACAACATCGCAAATGGGGAAAGGTGGCGGTCGCTGGGACGATAATGGTATGGGATGGTATGAAGCATGTCAACCGAACGGTTTGCTTGTTCGCTTTTTGTGCTGTTAGGAGAAGGGGGGAGCAGATATCAATTCGCTGAAGATGCGTGGCCTGCAGTGGATTACCCGGCCTTGTCCATGTATTCGGATACTATTTCGCTCATAGCCACTCGTTTATCAAAACCGATGATTCTTAACCTTTGCTTCAACCGTTACTTGCGTGATTTGCGAGAGACCCAACATGGCCGGTCGACCCGAAGTATCAGCAACGTTCAAGACCTGCAAGTTAAAAGAATCGCTCTAACTCGGGAACAGGACGTCTAAAACATGATCCCACAGAGGTGATTCCTATCCACCAACTTTGACCCCTTGCCCTATCAAGATCACGAACTACAGCTACATTGCAACGCCCGCTCCGACCTCGGCACATCGCTCACCCACCGGACCTCCTCCTCCTTGTCCCCTTCATACGTCACCCCGTCAAACTCCCTCCCAGCCCAGCTGTCTTCGAACGGATGCAGCGCCAGATGCAGAACCCTATTCAACACGTCCCGCTCGCCGCCCTTTTCGACGCGGCGAATCACCTCGTCCAGGATCCAACCGCGCGGCACAAAGTTGGGGTTCACGCGCTTCATAGCCGCCATGCGCTCCGCGTCGGCCTCTTCGGATACGGTCCCGTCGGATGATCCCCAATCCTGGACCACGCGCTCGCGCCAGACGGCGAGCCAGTTTGCGACTCGTTGGCGACCTCCCGTCTCGGCGTCATCGGCGGGCGGGTCTTCCTTGTAGAAGAAACGGGCGGCGTTTTCGAGGCGGAAGGACGGGGCGGAGAGGGCGGATAAGGGGAGGGTGGAGAGGCGGCGGAAGAAGAGGTGGAAATCTAGCGAGAGAGCTTCGAGTGTGTCGAGTAAGGGGGAGAATAGCGTATCGAAGTCGTTTGGGTTGTGGGTCTTGAGGCCGAGGCGGAGGGTGAGAAGGCGTTTGTATTCGGCGAGGAAGACGGACTTGTATTCTTCACCGGCTTGGTTGATGAGTTTCTCGGCGCGGGCGATGAGCGGGGGAGCGGATTCCTCAGTTACGCCGGAAGAGGTGAAGAAGGGCGTGTCGACGTCGGGGCCGGAGCCGATTAACTCGCCGAGGGCTTCGCCTAGCCGGACTAGGTTCCACCAGATTATGGTCGGCTGGTTGCGGTAGCTGTAGCGCAAGAGGTAGTCGTCGTGGTTTGGGGTGTATTTGGGGTCGAAGTTGTCCATGAAGGCGAACGGGCCAAAGTCCATGGACAAGCCGAAGATGGACGTGTTATCGGTGTTGAGCACGCCGTTCATGAAACCGTACGCTTGCCATTTGGCGACGGTGAGCGCGTTACGGCGGACGATCTCGCGGTAGAGGCGCGCAAAACGATTCTCTTCGGCGCCAGGCGGGCCTTGGAGAGTGTCCTTAGGGACATTGCGTTCAGGGGTTGGGGTCTTAGAGGGATCGCCAGGGTCGTCAAGCCGGCCTGGGAGGGTCTCCCACCCACCGAAGACATCTTCGGCGACGTAGGTGGCCAGCCGGCGGATGAGGGTCCTGTCGCCGCGCGCGCGGAGGAGGTCGAAGGTGCCGAAGCGCAGCCAGCTTTGCGCGAAGCGAACCACGATGGCGCCGGGTTCGATACGCTCTCGCCTGACCTTGCTGTGTGGTAGCAGGCTGATGGCAAGCGCTCGCGTAGTGGGAATCCCTAGGGCGTTCAGCGCCTCGCTGACGACGAACTCGCGGATGCTGCTGCGCAGGACGGCCTTGCCGTCAGCGAACCGGCTGTAGGGGGTTATGCCGGCCCCTTTGAGCTGGACTTCGTACCGTATCCCTGTGCGAGGGTTTGTCGCCTCGAACAAGCTGATGGCTCGTCCATCACCCAGCTGGCCGGCCCAGTCTCCGAACTGGAACCCTCCATAGCATTGCGCCCAAGGGTAGCCCGGCCCGGAGAGCGTCACGGGGTCCCATCCATGGATCTCATTGCCGACTACTGTCTCCTTGAACTCGTCTGTCTCAGCTTCGGACAGCGCCAGGCCCAGGTCGCGCATGGCCGCTGGCGACACAGCCAGCAGTTCCGGTTCTTGCTGGCTCTCCGGGCGGACCCATGTAAATAGGGCGCCTCGCACCTGGCGTGGCCCGAGATCTTCGCGCGTCGCCTTATAGCTTTCAGCCGGCGTCGGGAACAGCGGGTCTGCAGGGAGTGATGATGTGAAATGCCATGACTTCGGAAGCGCGGCCAGCGTCACTCCTTCGTCCCTATGGGATGGAGAAGAGGTGGAAGTATTGTTGACTGCAGCCATGGCAGAAGGGTTGGTGAATGCTGAGAAGGACCGGCTCCAGGGGCTCCGAAATTGCTGCGCGATGGCTAGACAGCGGGCGGCGGGTTGAAAGCGCATGAGGTGTGCGAGGTTAGAGCAGGTAGAAGCAGTGCTCCGGTTCCCGTCGCGGAGCCAATCCCGTTCGGGGTTCGACTTGCTGCGGAACTGTGATTGATGCGTAGGAAAACTTGAAATGGTGGGCTCTGGAATGTTTAGGGATCCGAAATGGCTTCTGCGATGGTTTGACTGAACTGAAACGGGAAAACTATCATTCAAGAGTTCGTTCGGGTGGCGATCCGCGAGGCCGGTGACGGCACGTCATAGCATCTCTTGAGCGAGCCAAGTCTACCGTTTCTCGCCTCAAACAGTACAACGCAAAGTGCTGGGCAACGGCCAAAGTTCTGCCCGATGCTAATGAGGCACCTTACCTGAGAGACAGCAGCTTCCAGACTGTACCGACTTGTGGCCGATGCCTTCTGCATTTCCGTGCCGATTCAAGAAAATCAGCCACGGTCCCGAGGTGGCTGACCACAAGCGCTGTAGCGCTGCAGTTCTGGGCTATGTCGTCATAGGCGGGAGGCACGCTAACACATACCCACATCATCAATCGCGTTACAGATTCGTCGAGAGCCTCAAATCCACTATTTCCTATGCCGGAGCCTTCGCGCATGCTTTATGCCGCTTACAACTGTACGATCATGTTTGAGCCTTCTGGTTGACTACATACCTACCCCTGTGGAATAAAGCTCGGCATGGTCCAATTCGTTGCTGTTGACCTGGCATTTGGTAGCAACCGAACAACCAATAAACCATAGATGAGAGTTGCTCGCTCTTTCCTATACTGCTTTTCCAATAGCCCCACCTCATCACGGCACTTTGGACAGTGGCATGGTTCGCTCCTTCCTCTTGTATGAAGTCAGTTGCCTGTCCACAAAAAATATTGCAAAACAATTCAATCGTGCGATGTCCAAACCGATGCCTGTTCTTCAGTCGATGCAATCATTCCCCCAAGAATTCAGTTCCATTCCCTCCCCGACAGATTTTGACTCAGGTCTCATCCAAGGAAAGATCAGAAATGAGTTTGGAGATGCCCAAACTCAAACCCACAACGTTGGTTAACGAACCGGAGCAGCCCGAGTACATTCCTCATCTCAACCTCAGTGACGGAAATGAGCTGCCGATGGTAAGCCATGAAACATGTCTTAGTATTTCCATCATACCTTGCTGGGCTGACAGTCGCTCCTTCAAGCTCGGCTACGGCTTGGGAACTGAATCACAAGCGCGGCCCAAACAGGGACAAGCGGGACGAGAAGCTCATCAACGACACTCTTACAGCCATCAGGAACGGCTACTACCTCCTCGATTGTGCTGAGGTTATGCTTCGTCCCCAAACCTTCCAAACCCCTGGCACAACCACTTTAAACTAACTCAAGGATCCCAACTGTTCAGCCTACGGCAACGAGCCCAAACTCGGCGCCTCTATCGCCCGCTGCGGCATCCCCACATCAAACCTCTTCATCACCACCGAAATCTCCTGCCGCCCCGGCGATTCCGTCGAAACAGTTTTCTCCCGCTCCCTCGCAAAACTTGGACTCGACTACGTCGACCTGTACCCCATCCACAGCCCCTTCTTGGCCCAACCCGCAGCCGTAAAGGTCCGTGCCTCATCCCCAGCCGACCTTCAGTCCAAATGGGCTGAGATGAAAGCCCTTAAGGACTTGGGCCGCGCCCGCTTCATCGGCGTGTCCAACTACCTTGCGCGAGCAGCTCGAGGCAGTCCTGCGGACAGCGCGGCACCCGCCCGTCGTGAACCAGATCGAGTATTATCCGTACCTGCAGCACGAGGACAAGAACGGAAGTGGAGGGTTGGTGCAGTTTCACAGGGAGAAAGGGATTGCGATCGTGGCGTACGCCTTCCTAACCGGGGTGGTCAGAACGGCGCCCGGCCCCCTGGATGGGGTGTATGAGCGGTTGGCGGGTAAGTATGGAGTGACACCCGGGAAGGTGTGACGACAAGTTCGAATGAGGAGCGGTTGAAGCGGTGGGTTTGGCGGCTGCCGCTGTTTAAATTAACGTCGGAAGAGGTGGAGGAGATTGCCAAGCGCGGGAGGGAGAGGCATTTCAGGGGCTTTTGAACCGCCAAGTTTACGGAGGGGGACTGGCGCTAAGGCGGGATCGGATTGGAAAGGTTGAGTGTGGTATGACGGCCGGCTTAGTCGCTTCACTGAGAGTGAGCAAGACGCCGGAAACATAAATCCATGTGTGGATCAGGTTCAACCAAATTGAACCTCCATACCTTAGGCGTCCGTGCCCAGCGTTCTAGCCCAACTAGCCTCACAACTCATCGTCTGACTCCGTCTCGCTTCCCTCGACCGGCTTTTGCGTGGCCGCCTTAGACGTCGTCTTTCTGAGCGCTCTTCTGGGAGGGTGTATCACCACGTCCTTGCCTTTCCTCGCCTTGCTAGCAGCAGCATGTCTTTTTGGCTGTGGCTGCGTTTGTTGTCGAGTTTTCGGCAGTGGAGATGGCCGTCGAGGGGCCTCATCTTCCTCAGCTTCACGCCCGGACGCGGTCGCATCGTCATCGGTTGTCTCACGGTCTTCCGACTCGGAGATCTCTTTACCTTTTTGGGTCATCTCTGGCTCTGACTCCTTCGGGTCGACGTCCATCGTGTCGGCACTTGGGGCCACCTTTTCGAACCCATCGTCTGAGTCCGAGGAAGACCCACCGCCTGAGGCATCCTCGAGCGCCTTACGCTTTGCGCGTCGAGAAGGGACGGGTTTACGTGCCTCCGCCATCTTTGATCGTGTCCCTTGAGAACCGCGCGCCGCATCAAGCCGTGACTGGTCGACCTGAGCTGTGCTGAGCAGGCGTTGCTGCTCGCGAATCTTGACCTTCTTCTCGTTGAGTAGAGTACAGAACTTCTCCAGCAGTTCGGCCTCTCTGGCCTTCTTGGACTCGGTGAGCTCGTCCAACTGGTTCCTGAGCTCGGTGATGCGGGCTTCCAAGTCTGCTACTTTGGCTTTCTCGTCGGCCACAGTCTCGTGAAACTTCTCTCGTTCCAGGGCAACAGCTCCGCACCAGTCAAACAGCTGGATGGCTTCATCGGCCTTGTGGTTCAGTGTCAGTGAGCCAAGGCGTTGCTAATGAAGGTGGTTAACAATAGAATGCGTATTTTGAGTCCGCAGTTAAGCTCACATTGATACCAGCCACACGTCGCCTGACAGTAATGACAATTGACTTGCCCACATTGGCTTCTGCGCCCACTTCGATGCCCTCAATGGGCTCACCTCCGAGGAGAAGCGTCTTCAAGATACGTTCCCACTCCTCGGGCAAGCAGGCGCTACTGCTGGCTCTCAGTTCGCCAATGCGGTCATGTCTCACTGTGACTTATCAGCTGGCTGTTGGTATCAAGCAAGATACGCCCGCAGCGCCTGAAGAACCTAACCTCTGCGGGTCCGGCGAGCCCCCCTGGGTCAAGTACGAGGGAACAGGAGACTCACGCTTGACTACGTAGGGCTCCTCGCCCTCAGTGGCAACGAACTTGACGTTCAGCGGTTTGGATCCTGACGGCATAACCTCGCCGAGTACGAACGCACCCTCCTCGTCGGTCCGAGGGATGCGGATGATGTGAGAGGACACCATTGGTATGCTCACTGGATGCGACTCAAAAGTTGGAAGAAACGGTGATTGGCGGTACAGCGGACTTGTCGTTTGCAGAACCCTTGGATCGATTGACGAGCGGCACGGCCGCAGCTGGGATGAAACAAGCCCTGAAATTGAAGGAGGGTGTTTCAATATCAAGGCGATATCCCTCGTCCCGGCGGCTTCAACTCGATTCGAAACTCGGGCGGACAGAAAGCGGCCGGGACCTAAATCTCCGGCACCAGAACGTGGCAAGCGGAAGGGTGCTGTGAGTGCGTCCAAAAAAACCTCTGACTTCCTTTCCGTCCTCTTTCTGTGTCTCTCGGGCCGGCGAAAATTGCATGACCTGCAGTTTTGTGGAGGGCGGGGAGCTTGGTCTACCTAGGTTGAGTCGTAGGCAGCAGGCGGGCGCCAAGCAGCTCACGGTATGTACGGATCCGTAAGGTATTGTATTCGTACCAGTTCGACTACGCCACAATGAGTGCCGCAGGAAGATCAAGGGAAAAGCCATAACAGATGAGGCGGACCTAGTGAACCTAGAACTCCAAAACTGCATCGGATTGTTTTTGACGCTGAACATGCGATGAGAGCCGGGATTTGCACGCTGAAATTAACGATATTTCAGTGTAGTCACAAACTCGGCCCATGTCCAAATTGCGGCGCATGGTTACTCCATTGACATATGAAAGACAGGTACGGATGTACAGATCCATACAATTCGCGTAGTTTGCCATCCACATATGGCATTGACCCCTCTCCCACCCTAAGGACCTAGTCAACAAATTTGTAAGCTGACTTAGCTTCAATCGAGCATGAGATGAAGGATCGTTTCAAAGTCAATACCATCAAAACCAGCCTAAAGCGAAGTCTTCATGCTAAGACCACCATCTACTTATTGGAAGGGCGGGGGAGCGTGTCCAGTCCTCGCGTCGTGAACGTGAGATCTATTAGGGCAAGCAACGGCCAGTCCCCACAAAACCAGAGTGACACAAGGGTTGTGTCTCCAAAACCCGCTCAGAAGAATTAGATTCAGTGAAAGAAAAGGATAGTTAGTGTCAGTAAAGCAAGGACCCCTGTTTGTCGTGTCGCTCATCAACGGGATGTCGAGTGTCTTATGACCATTTTGATGCTGAAGAAAGACGGGACGGTATTTGTGATGCGTCAACCTCAAGAGTGGGTTTCTGGGAAACCGCCCGCGGGTCTCACCCCTGCCCAATGGCAGCTGTACGGATTACCACTGTCGGTTGGAGCAGCTTTGGGCCCCGTCTCTCCCGACTTTTCCAAAAACAGACCTCAATTTGACAGTCCCGCCACTTCAATTTCGCGGTCAATGTCGCCCTTCCCACGAGCACACGACAGCAGATATTACCATATTCTTCCCATTATCTTTCCTTGTCGAACCCTTCAAGGCCCTTGAGAGATTTTGGGCTGCAATTTTTTCCTCGATGCAAACCCTCTGCGGAGCAGGCTACGACTCCGCACGTTAGTCCCATCAAGCCGAAGCCGCAGAATTGATACGAGGCGACCTTTGAGCATCCACCCGTCTGGAACCGCGCCTTTAAACCGCGCCTCGGGCCTTGCGTTTCTCCTCCCCGACAGATTCGAGCCAGCAGGGCAACCAGGTGTCAGCGATTGGTGGTGAAAGGCTCAGTGCTGTTGACTATGAGTCCGCATCATTGACCGAACCTTCCCTTCGCTTCCCTTCGCTACTACACGCTGCAGTGTCTTTTGGTGCGCCGAGTGCGTCCCTCGCGACTGAATACGCCGTTCCACTTCTTGCCCTTTTCAACTAGCCTATTTGGTTTCCAGCATCGGCCATGGACTCTTCCACCTTGCGTCTGAAGGCGCGGCTGCCTGCGGAGGATGAGATCGAAAATTGGGACGATGAGGACTTTTTGATTGATGGAGATGATCTTGCCTTCCACTCGCTTTCGAACTCGGCCAACATCTTTACCAACCGCCGCGATTCGCAATCCTCGTTCAGGTCCGACTTTGAGTCCATCCATGGCGAGGAGGAGAAGCAGGTCCATTTGCCTGACAATGACGAGAAGTCGACTCTCGATGCGATAGCCGCTGCCGCAAAGGCCGGTATTCCGCTTCCCCAGAATGTGCCGCCTTCCGCTCTTATGGGAGGGACAATCAAGAGGCTCGGAGGCCGGAAGATCAAAAAGATATTTCAAGAGGATTGGGTTGACGACCTTGAGTTTCCCGAGGGACAGGCGCTGCAGATCAAACCCCGGGATAGCGCCCAGTTCCCCGAAGTTCTTCGCCAGGTCAGCAACTCGACCCAGCCAAGTCCGTCAAAGCCGCCGAAGGAGTTCCATGCACTGGTCCATGAGGGAGCCAAAGAAATCAAGTCGACACCTTCCTCTAGCTTCATCGACCTGGAAAAGTTTCGCGATGCTGATGACGACGATGACTTCTTCGGGAATGGGGGTACGACTATCAAGGTATCGAAGAGACGCGAAACGCCAAAACCTCTTTCCCTGATTACGCCGCCAACGCCTCAGAAGCCTGTCGGCGGAAACGTTGGCACAGAGGAGGATTTCGAGGCGGATTTCGAGCTCCCGGAAGATGGCAAGCTCAAACTCTCGGCCAAGAGCGACATCCCAAAGACACCCACATTTGCCACCCTCCTGGATGACCTCGACTGGGCCGAAGGTAGTCTAGGGACAAGATTTGGCGGTACTCGACGCGACGCCCAGTCTGCCAGAAGCTCCTCTGTTTCTGCCTTCAGTCCCAGTATTGCGAGTTCGGTTGTCGAGAGCGAGGATGACACATTCGATGGTCTCATTATTCCCAATGGACCGCTTGATCTTGGAGAGCGCTTGAAGCGTCGCCGCCGAAGCCGCTCACCTCCACGCATTCCCCAGGAGCCCATACTGGAAGAGCCTACCAGAGAGGAATCCATCAGACAGGCGCCGGCCAAGGAGGAGAGAGAGGATTTTCTCGCCGGACTCGACATCGGTGACGGAGAAGTTTTCGATTCGAGGAAGTTGACACTGCATCGCAACATTCAGGTCAAAGCGACCAGACCCGCTAGCCCCTCACGGCCCAAAGCTTCAGTCGCACTCAAGTTTACAAACAAACCTATCACAGCATCCCGCCTCCCGCGACCTATGGGACCCATGGTGAGCCACGAGCGATCGCACACACAATCCTCGTTGGAGCCTGTTTCTGAAAGCGGCGGGCCAATTCAGCGAGCACAGTCCAGGCGCTCTTTGTCTCGCATGGGTCACTCGGCGCAGTCCTCTGTGACCAGTCTGGGAAGTGCATCGGCTTCCTCAACACCTTCTACGGTCACCATGGCCCCGTCTACACCACGCAGGAGGGATCTTGGGCAAAAGGCATCGCAGGTGTCAGTAAGGAACGAGCCCACGACCACAAGCGCGCAGCTTCTGCGCATTAAACGATCACTACCAGCCATGCGCACCCCGCAGCCACCCGCGACGCGGCCACCGCCAGCTCGGGGATACGATCGTCCTCCGTCGCGAACTGACCACCCCAGCCGAGCAGCACCCATAAAACGTCCCAAAACGCCTGTGGAGCGGATGCGAACGTTAGAAAGCGCTGCAGCATTGGCCCGCAAGGCTCCGGTGCCCTTCCTGCCAGCTGGGGCTTCGGCGACTCAGTCGTACAATATCAACGCAAAAAGCTCGCGTATTTTCCGCCGTCACGACTCAGAAACAAGCATCGAGTTCCGGCCAAATTCCCGAGCGGTGTCTCGTTCGACAATACGATCGCCTAGTCCGCGCCCGTTTCGGTCGGCAGAGAAAGTCACGCCAGATGGTGCTTGGGGCAAGCTTAGCATGCCCCGACGGGCGCGGAACTTTGGCGATGGTCATGAACTGGATGCATTTGATGATCTGCCAACATCCACCCAAGCAGAAGCAAAATTTCTGAAGCAACCAGTCACTGCCAAGTCGCAGACGCGAAGCAGGGGCTATCAGAACATCCTGCCAGACCGCAACGTCACTCCGTCACCTCGTACACCTTACACCTCCCGAGTCGACTGCGTGCCGAGTTTCGCTCGCGATACTGCCGCCAGCCGGATCGCACGAGAGACGATTCTGGCGCAGCGGAATCCATCTGGCGTGATTGCGCCGCTGACCGCTCAGCGCGTTGCTCAGCTCTCAGTGAGAGGGAGCTCCAATCAGCCTTCATCTTCGCAACCAACTGTCAAGGCCAAGAAGGTGCGAAGATCGCCGCAATCCAAGCCGCATTTGATATCAAACCTGAATCCACCAAAAGACCCGAAGTGTCAGTTTCCTTCCACTCTCGTTCTGCCGGCACACTCTAACACGTTGCAGTGGTCAAAGGCATGTGGTACAACCCGGAGACATTCCGATGGGAAGGTAACGACAACGCGCTGAGTGCATTTGATGTTCCAGCTTCCTCTCCGTCTACCACATCGGTGCCTCAACACGCGGTCCGCGAGCGGGAGACGGCTACACCGCGCCCGGCGTTGATCACCAACATTGGCGCCACCAAGGGCGTCCAGGTAGTTGGTGGCATGGTTTTCGACCCGCAAAACATGTGCTGGCTTAAGCTTGCCCCTCAGACCCGATCAGAAAGAAGCGACACGCTGGACGGCTTCAACGCCATGGACGACGAGGAGGACGTGTTCAAAGACATTCCGGACCTAGAGGAGCGTACCATGGCATCTAGCGACGGCGGCAATGTCCGAGTCAGCGACGTCAACCACGAGTGGCCGGTGGGCGAGGAGTTTGACGTTGGACCAGAGTTTGTGCGGCGTCAGCGCGAGGAAGAGGAACGGTGGAGGAAGAAGTGCCATGTTTGGATCAACAGCCAGGTTGACCGCGGCAACGCCTGGAAGTGGGCCATCCGCGACATTGTCAGCCAGAGTTTGGCTGAGCAGGAAGAACACGGCACAGGTAGACAATGATCGGTTGCCGGACCTGGATATGGTGTTCGGGAATGGATCACTGTCTGCTCTCACCAGGCTACCGCAAGCCTTTGCTTCGATTCCCTGATCACAAGCATGGACTAGACTGGCTCCAGGTGTTGAGCTATCTGACCGACCGCCCTGGCCGGGCCAGGAAAACCAGTACAAGCAAGACTAGGCAAGCTTGCTGAATGAGGATCATGATGAATTACGACTTTAACGTTAGATGAGTTACGACAGATAGACTGGTCACGGCAATCCTGACCACTTTGGCTCGGAATAGCTTGCTTAATCTAATATGCTTCTGTTCTCCTCTCAGAGCTTTCCGACTGACTCGCTGACTGACTTCATGCTATTTACTACGATGAATCTGTGTTGTGTTTGCAGTTCCGGGGAAAGAGCTAATTAGCTGTCCGATAAGATAAGAGCACAATCCCCCCCACATGACGGTGGCCCTCCAACCTGGCACCCTCTCCAAACATCTCCAAACTCGACATTAACCTTGTAAAGTGCCTTTACTACGCACTCGAAACATAGTACGAAAAAGCGCGCCACAGCCGACAGCCGCAAACATGGCGACAGAGCTAACCTTTGCCAAAACCTTCCTCTCCCTCCTCGACTCAAAACCCTCTAAAATCTCCCCCGACCACATTGAGGACCCGCGCAGTTACCCAGGCACTTCGCCCGTTCGTCTCATCTCCTCTCCATTCTCCTTACCCTCCCTGCCGGAAGCATGACATTGGTTAACTAACTTGTGTATAGTACATCCTCCCGCGACACCCCTCCTATAAACCCTTCTCCAAGTCCACCTACTCCTCCCAGACCACACCGGACACCACCACCGGCGGTAGCAGTAGCAGCAGCGCAAAGAAGAAAACCCCCGGTTCCGAGCGCGCAGTCAAAGTCGTCCTCCGCTCGCCACGCAACCCGCCCTTCGAGGTCGTCCTGCCCGCCTGCGCGCTCTCGACCTCGCTAGCCGAGGTCAAGGAGCGCGTCGCAGACCAGACGGGGATTGAGGTCGATAAGATCAAACTGCTGCACAACAAGAAGCCGGCGGGGGCGGATAGCAAGTCCCTGAAGGACCTGCTCCCCGCGCCTACCGAGGCCAGTATTGGGGAGGTGGAGTTGGGGGTTATGATACTCGGTGGTGCCGCGGCGGTTGTGCTGAAGAAGAAGGAGGAGAAGCAGACGGCTGGGGAAGGTCAGGAGGGGGGTTCCGCGGCACCGGTTGCGCAGGGGTTGAGTGGGATTGGGGTGCTGCAGACGGAGGAATTTTGGGGAGATTTGAAGGGCTTCTTGCAGCAGCGGGTTAGGGACGAGGCCGTTGCTGGGGAGGCGGTGGGCGTGTTCAAGACTGCTTGGGACGGGAGGTCGTCGAAGGATGTAGATATGGATTAGAGTCGATGGAGCGGGGTGAAGGGGTATGATCAAGCCGCGTAATGCGATATCGGCATTGATTCAGGGCTACCAACTCGTATAGCACCATCTTCCCGCTGCATTCGTATTCCCTTTCGACACCTGTGTGGTCCACTAGGCGACGGTAGGAAGCATCACTGTATACGGCTGCCCACATAACCCAGGTCCAGTTGCTCTTTGTCGTCATTGGCGATGTCAACTCCCTTTCTCCTTTCCTTGATGAGCGAACACGGCATGCGTTACTTTCCCAGTACATAACAGCGCAACGCACGCGTGCTTAGAGAACAGAGTGCGCCGCAGATGGTAATCCCGGAATCAATCAACGCTCGCCCCGACCAAACCAACAGAGAAACAGAGACGCGCAGAGGCCCATCAAAGTACTCTAACGGGCTGCGGTGCCCTTGCTGACCGTCTTCACCAGCGACTCCCACTCGATGTCGTCGGTGTCGTTGGCCTGCACTTCAACGGCGAGACCGGGCAGGGCGCGTTTCAAGGCCTCCTTGGACGAGGCGTAAACCATCTTGGCCTGGGATAAACACATGTCAGATCGTGGGCTTGCGGTCAGAGAAGGAACGGGGTGGTTTGACGAACCATCACACCGGCATCATCAGGCGACCAGGCGATGAAGGTAATCTTGTTCCTACGCTTGCGTCAGTTTCGTTTTCCAACAGCTCCGTGTTTTGTTTCTCGTGAATGCCTACCGGATACCCTCACCGGACGCGAGGTCGTACTCGATGTCGTAGACCGCATATCGGGGTCCCTTGCCCACAGCACCCTATGAAGCCGAATAGTCAGCCAAAGCCGGCACAGGCAGCCCAGTGCAGTGTACACGATGACCGGCGCTTGCAACATACAGTCTTGCTCTTGGTCTGGGCGTTGATAAGCTTGTTGCGGAAGTCCTCGTAACCGGGCCCATCCTCGCTGGTGCTATCGACGACGATCTCCTTGTTGTCGTCCGAGAGCTTGAAGATGACGTATTTGTACTTCTTGTTGAGCTTGAGGTCGTTGTAAGCCGTTATGCACTCGGCGTTGACGGTGGCTCTGGGAGGCGCGGTTAGCACACCCGGTTGTGTTTTGGTTGGTGTGGCCCCTGATTTCCGCCATGCCCGCCGCTATCGATCAATCGAGGCTTCCCGGCGACTGGATCTCTAGAAACGGGATGGTACGAAGCGGCAGATGTGCGGTGACTATTGGACTACGGCTACTAACCCGGATTGAGACTGATCAGGCACAGCGTTAGAACACCCGGACAGCAGAGGAGAAGGCGCGGGTTGAGTATTTACCATGATGCTGGTTGTATTCTGGGCTTGTAGCCTTGTGTCGGCGAGAGAAGCAGACAGAAAAAGAGTCGGCTGGTGAAGCTACCGCGGTTTTGTTCGTCAACAAAAAAGTCGGCTGAGTTGTCGCAAGACCCTCAAACGGTGTAGGCGCGGGTTTGGGCTTGCGCCGGGCAGGAGCGAGAAAGAGGGGTTTTAAATAACAAAATGGCAAGCTTCCTGGGCGAGCACAGCCTGGCTTGCGGAGGCACTTACGATAAGGGGGAGACCCGATATTATGTCTCAACAAGAAACGTCCCGTCTCTGTGATGAACTGCGAATCTACCCGCCAAAACTAGGAAGAGAGAAAGCAAGGGTTGTTAGGTGTAAGTACTGCCAATAAGTGTACATACACAACGGCGTGGAGGTGAGGCGTGCGATAAAGGAGCGGATTTGGAGGGGGGGGAGTGGGGCAAGCGGACCTGAAAAACAATGGAACACACCCTGCAGCTCAATTTGGTGGGGTCGTTGTCGGCGGTAACAGCTGCCAAGCTTACTCGCCAGGCTGGTGCAACCATAATATCATGAGAGCTAAGCGGTCCGGGTCCCTGTTTTCGTCCAGTTTCTGTTCCGCAGAATCAATCCCTATCGCTAGGTTCTGTATTCACTTATACTGTGGTACAATCAGGCAGTTAGGGTAGGCAATTTGGGTTGCAGCTGTCGTAATCTTGGTAACCTAGGAGTCGGCAACTCATGGAGGACGGACCCAGGCCTCAATATTTCTGCCTCGCGTTGACGCAAGCAGCATGAGAGAGCACCTGAGCTTCAAAGTCCTTTCATTGATTACATTCGTTGTTTGTTTATTCCTCTACTCTCAACCCCCGTGTCATGGTAATATACAAGGCCACCACCAGCCGGAATATGCAGCTATGAACACAGGGAGGAACACGAGAGAGGAGATTCCATAACACATTTGTACAATCCCAGAACACCGCAAATGCCCCAACCGAGTCGCCGTACATCAAGACCAGAACCGTCGCCCCAAAATACAGATTTTTACATCATACCACCCATACCGCCCATACCGCCCATACCGCCCATGCCACCGCCGATAGGCTTGTCCTCGGGAGCCTCAACGATGGCCACCTCGGTGGTGCCGAGCAGCGAGGCGACACCGCTGGCATCAACGAGGCCAGTCCGCACGACCTTGAGAGGGTCGAGGATGCCGGCCTGGATCATGTCCACATACTCGCCCTTGGCGCTGTTGAAACCCTTGTTGAAGTCCTTGGCATACTCATCGCTGAGCTTGCCAATAATGACGGAACCCTCGAGGCCGGCGTTCTCGACGATAGTCCGCGCCGGCCGGGTGATGGCGTTCTTGATTATGCTGACACCGAGCTGCTGATCAAAGTTGGCGGGCTTCAGGTCGTTGAGAGCGTTGCACGAGGCCTTGATGAGCGCAGTGCCACCACCAGGGAGGATACCTTCCTCGACGGCAGCGCGGGTGGCGTTCAGGGCGTCAACAAAGCGGTCCTTCTTCTCGCCCACCTCAACCTCGGACGAGCCTCCGACCCTGATGACGGCAACACCACCAGAGAGCTTGGCAAGACGCTCTTGGAGCTTCTCTTTCTCGTACTCGGACGTGGTAGGGTCAGCCATGACACCGCGGATCTGCTCGCACCGCTGAGCAATGGCATCCTTGCTGCCCTCGCCGTTGAGGATGATGGTATCCTCCTTGGTGATGGTGATGGAACCGGTGGAGCCGAGCATGTCGGGGGTGACCTTGTCGAGCTTGACGTCGAGCTCGTTGGTGAAGACAGTGCCGTTGGTCAGGACAGCGATATCGCCGAGGATGGATTTACGGTTGTCACCAAAGCCTGGGGCCTTGACGGCAGCAACCTCGAGCTGGCCACGGAGCTTGTTGAGGATGCAGACAGCGAGGGCCTCACCCTCAAAGTCCTCGGCGATGATGACGAGAGGGCGGCGGAGCTTGTTGGAGATTTCGAGGGCTGGAATGATGTCCATGGCGGCAGAGATTTTCTGCTCTGACAGGAGAATCAGGGGCTTCTCGAACTCGACCTTCTGGGACTTGGCGTCGGTGATGAAGTAAGGCGAGACGAAGCCGCGGTCGAAGCGCATGCCCTCGGTGACCTCGAGCTCGTCCTGCAGCGTCTTACCCTCCTTGACGGTGATGACACCCTCCTTGCCGACCTTCTCCATGGCGTTGGCGATCAGCTTGCCAATGTGCTCATCACCGTTGGCGCTGATGGTGGCGACCTGGGCAATCTCCTCGCTGGTGGTAATATCGCGCTTGTTCTGCTGGAGATACTCGACGACCGACTCAACAGCGGCCTGGATACCGCGGCGGAGATCCATGGGGTTGCAGCCAGCAGCCACGTTCTTGACGGTCTCGGAGAAAATAGCACGGGCAAGCACGGTCGCCGTGGTGGTACCGTCACCTGCAACCTCGTTCGTCTTGGAGGCGACGTCGGCAAGGAGCTTGGCACCGAGGTTCTCGAACTTGTCCTTCAGGGAGATGGCCTTGGCAACTGTCACGCCATCCTTGGTGATCTTGGGCGAGCCGAAGCTCGACTCGATGAGAACGTTGCGGCCCTTCGGACCGAGAGTGGTAGCCACGGCCTTGGCGAGGGTCTCGACGCCGTTGAGGAGAGCAGCCCGACCCTCAACTCCGAACTTGAGCTCCTGCATAGAGGCGCGAGGTCAGCAACTGCCTGTACTGCTTAACAGGCTTCACCACTCATTGCACCCTTCTGAATGTCCAGAGCCGACCTTGGTCATCCCCAATGACATACCTTGTGAGCGAAGCGGAGCTGCTGGGTGGACCGGACGCGAGAAGCCGCGAGCGGCGAAGAGACAGATGCCCTCGTCAACGCACGCTGCATTTTGTCTGGGGTATCAAAGAGAGGGCAAGGAAATTAAAGTAAAAGAGACTCAGGGTATCACGGTCGGCTTCGAAGGGGAAACACGGAGAGGAACCTGGAGAGGGAGGAATGAATGAGGAGGAAGTTCGTTGTCGATGCTTGAAGATCAAGCCGAAAAAATTCCCCAAGTTCACCAATGCATTGGCCCGAGCTCCTGAACCGCCATGCCGTGATTGTACTAGCGTGGCGTCGGGATTCTCTCGCAGGAGTTTCTGGAATCATCGGCACTCCACTTCTACAATTCGCCGACAACTAACTCCATGCGCAAACTTTATCGCGACAGACATGCGCGCTCGTGTACGGGGTATCAGGGTTGAAATTTGCTCGTCTTTCTGTACCTTTCGAGGTTGGTTGTGAGATGATCTATAGGCAGCTCATCTGTAGTTTGTAATGCTCATGATCTGTCTGCTGCTTTCCATCGATGACAGCTTCCCATACATCTTTTCCCCGATCTTGGCATCATCCATTGGAGCTCTCGGTTCGGCTTACACCGGCCGGGAAACATGGATTGGAAGTATCTCAAAACAACGACCAGAACGCCCTTTCATATAAGACCTTACAGTGTGCATACCCACAAATTGGCCAGTCTGTGCAAGGACAACGCTAAGCGTGCTCTCGCCAATCACTCATTAAATCTACAGTACGATGCATCAATTCAGCGGTGCAGCCTACCTGTAACCCTGGCAGGCATTGCGCGTGAACACTACCCCCTCTGCAAAACAAGCTTCCCGCCCTGCTCTTCAATTGAGCCTATGAGCACATCGCTCCAATAAGTGACTTCCGCTGTTTTCGTCAAGTCGAAACAGGACTCACTCGATGGAGGCCTCAGTGTGGAGCCGCGCTGGACCTCCTTTGTTGCTGGTGGTGTTACTGAGAGCCGCCTAGGTGCTATACATTGGGGGGAGAGCACGAGCCACAAGTCATTGGAACAACATACACCTGCTCCTGCTGGTTCCGTGATGGGAACGCTTCGTTCCGTTGGTCAATCAAATGCATGAGCTTACTGGCTAGGCCCTCGGTCGTCAGGCAAACCCCATAGGCAGGGCAAACTCCCTCACTCTGGAGGTCTGGAGAGCACGAAAGCCCTTCCAGAAGAGAGAATGGTGAGCTAATTTATCTCGGTAATGACGCTTGTCGTAATGTAAAAACAGCTGCTAGGTGGCAGGGTAAGTTTCCAGTCATCTGTTTAGAATTGGCGCAACCACCTGGGATGAGGAGCCATAAAGGCGGCCATGACATGAGACAGATCAACAGCAAGATCACAGAAAGCACCACGAGCCAGAAAAGGTCAGAAGCACCCACTGTGATTTATCAGGATATCAACTCTTTCCACCCACCGCAAAACTCCATTCGCCCAAGCCAACCTGGAACCCAATCAAAGAAATCTCCCAAAGCCAACTCCTCTATGATGGCGACCAAGTATGCCGGCCAACCATCCAACTTTCCTTCCGGGCAAGGTATCCTCCTTCAGTCGTTGCCAAGCTGCGATGGAGTCAGCGTGCCGGACCGGACGAGACGAAAAAGCACGGCCTTGGGAGGAGGGGCGGGGGACGTGCCTTTATTGCAGGAGATGGCGATGCCTCTCGCCGCACAACTCGGCAGGCGGCGGCGACGATGCCAAACTCTGCTGGGCGAGACCAAAACTGTGGGCAAGTTCCCATGACGGGGGTGTGGCGTCATGGCTGCCGGCCGCGAGGGGCGATGGGGGACTACTCCGAGATGTAGTCGTCTTCTGTGGGGGAAATCCCAAGAGGTCAGCATCGTGGCATAAACAGTAGGCAGCTGCCGCTTCAACAGCAGCAGAAGCAGAGGCAGCGTGATAGTATCCAAAAATGGGTGTTGATGGCGCTCCGTGAGGCTGATGGTGAGCGTGGATGTGACCATGGTGGGCCGGGGCGTAAGCGACCGGGAGCTGGGCCGCGGTTGGCGGCAGCGAGACAGGAACAGGCCTCTCGCCGACGACGACGCAGTCGTCCCCGTCTCGGTCGTCTGACCGATGCAGACCGAAGCCCTGCCCCTGGCGCGGAGTAAACGCCTCTTCACCCTTGCTCACGTTGCCACCACCAGCACCCGCAACATGGCATGATGTAGCAGCCTTAGTTGACGAACCGTCATCCTCGCCCTTGACTTTGGTGTCCTCATCGGACTCCTCCTTCTTGACTCCGCGCTCCTTCTTGACAGCCTCACACTTTACGGTCGGGCTGTCATCTTCGTCGTCATCCTTCTTGGCGGCGGCGCGCTTGCGCTTCTTGGAAGTGGGCGTCTTTGGCTCGGTGTCATCACCATCATCGCCGTTGGCGCGCGAACCGGCGCCACGACGCGGGGTGTTGACGGAGATATCGTGGGCTTTCAGGAGACGCTCGTAGCGCTTGGCACTGTTGGGGTGAACGAATATTAGTCAAGTGCGCTGATGCTTAAGGCGATCGATGAGAAGACGAGGATTACTTACGCTGCGGCCTTGCTGACAATGCCGAGCTCACTGGCAACATTGTCGAAGTTGACCTGTGACAACGCGATCGCGAAGCCGATGGTCAGAATGAGTCGCTGCGAAAGAAGCAATCGATGAAATCGGTCATGAAGAGCCGATCAGAACTTACCTTGCCTGCGGCAGAGTGCTTGATGCAGCACAGCAGGAACTTAAACTGAGCTTCCGTGTCGATAGCAGGCATCTTTGCAAATTGTCTTGAAGAACTGTCTGTGTTGTGGAAAAGGAAGGACGTTAGTCGGATTGTTTCTGTCCTTAAAACAAGCGTGTGCTAACAGGTTAAGAGAGCGGCGAAAGAGAAATGCAGAAGAGTGCCAGATCAGAATCTGTTGGAAGGATAGTGTGCGCGATAGAGCGATCGGTGAGGGGAAAGGATGTGAAATACCTTGGCACGGTATCGGGCAAGATTGAGGTGTGTTTGAGGGTGTGGACTGGATGAAGGAATGTTTGGTTGGCTAGTTTGTGGTTGGATGAAGATAGAGGAGGGGGAGTGGGAGGAGAAAGACAAGGAAGAACAGAAGTCCACAGCCTTGGGCTCAATCCTGAAGACACAAACAGCTGGATACCGATCACTGAAACTCGAATCCTCCTCGACAAAATAGGTACAAAAGAGCCAGGTTCGAGAGGAGTGCATCCGACAGCAGGAGACGATAATGCTTACCTAGTTATTGTTTAGTTCGTGTTGGGATATTGGGTGTCTGAGCGAAGTCTGAAGTTCCGGTTAGAAGGACGAGGCGCGGGAATAATTCTGGTGGAAGAAGATGAAGGGCAGCTGGGTTTATTTGTGGACACATTTGGGACACGTCGGGTCTAGCAACCAGGCGACTGGGTCCAAAACAATCGTGACCCTCAAGATGTCTAGAATGGCGTCTTTGTCGCAGCTGGCACAAAGAGCATCCGGTTGCAAGAAGAGAAGCAGCCTGCTCACGTGCCTGAAGAGCTGAGGCTCCAAAGAGCAAGTGAGGCAGTCAACTCGGTTGGCTGGAGTGGCGAGGAAGAGAGGGAGAAGGAAATTGGAGCTGCCTGGTCTTGACTGGAAGATTTAAACAGCAGCACGCTCTTTTCGGTCCGAAGTCTCAAGTCCAGTTCTGGAAAGCACGCCAGTATTCTCTTCGCGGTTCACACGGTAATGGCCGTGGCCACGTGGACCTGGTTGTCCGATGTTGTGGGAGTTGGCAGTTTAGACGAAGTGTGTCTGATATATGGGACGGTACGCTCAGGTGTACTGGATAAAGTTGCAAACGGCTGCAGTTGTCTTGTTTACTCCACCAGCCTGGCCATCTCTGCGCTCAGTGTGAGTAGACTCACAAGTCTCTGCGCATTGTTATCAACCTTTCAGAAGTAAAATGTTCTTTCACATTTTGACCCAGGTAGTTTAGGTGTTTTGAAGTTTGTGCTTGGACCAAGGGGTGAAGAGTCCCTTTGCCATATCAATCAGTTCTGTTCCCTTGATCAAACGCGGACCAGCGTTGACTTCAACCGGTCATGGCAGATTGCTAGCAGACTGTCAACAATTCCCTTTTTGACCGAGAACCTGGAGTCTGTTTACGAGTTTTCCAGCGAGCAGACGGGCTCAGGGTTAGGGTACCCCTGAAGCCCCTGAGTGAATAAACAAAGGAGCAAGTCGCATGGTATGTATCTTTCAGTAGTGCTCTGTTTAACTTCCAACATAAAACTTGCTCCTACGTATGTATGTGAGTGGCTGTGGACATCGTGTGCTGGATGTATTGCCGAGTATCCCCCTAGGCTGTCCCCAGCCTTTACCTCTGGATATGGTGCCATGTTTGCAGTGGTGATTCGGCACAATGGGCAGTGACCGAGAGCCTGTCTAGGTTTACATATGAGATGGGAGACACCATCATACCAGGCACATTGTCGCCAGGCCGGCCAGCTTTCACTCCAGCCATGGCGGGTCTCCGGCTTGTGCCACCCTCCTCCATGACTTGACCCTACTGCCTCCGGCATTCCCGCATATTGCCGCCATCTGAACTTTTCGGAGTCATTATGGCATGAATAATCATTCAAAGTACCTCTCCCTTTGGCCCCTTCTAGATTTTTGCAAAGAAAAGCGGAGCCCTAGTCGCGAGACCTTCCGCCTGGTTCCGTCCTTCACCCTCCACCATTTATTGCCATAACCTTTCCTCTCCTCTCGCAGCTCTCCCCCCTCCTCCCTTCTTCTCTTTCTATTCACCGATTCCTTCAATCCTCCCACCACCACCATCACCACCAAGATCTTGCGCTCGGGAGTGTTCGCTGAGGGCAGCAACAGTAAGTTGAGTCTTATTCTCTTGATCATTTTGACCTCATCGTGAATCCGGTACACTCATTGCCATTGTCCTGGATTCTTGAAGGCAGAGGTTGACCGACCGATCTTCGTTTTCCTTCCCGACCCTAACTCGAACCATCGTGGCTGACAACGATTTTTACACAGTTCATCAGAATTACCAAGACGACTCCTCTCTCTTCTAGGTATGTAGATTAATGCTCTATACGGGCGGTCTTCGATCCTATGCCGTCATCCCTTCCAGTGCGGACGAGACCAGCCGGTTTACCTTCGCGCTGAGCTCAACTTCAAGCGCAAATCTCGACGCGATCAATCGACCATAGCTAACAAGGTTACAAGACAAAACGTCAAACATGGGTCGTCCGGCAAAGGCTGCTTCTTCCGGTGACAATACTGGCGACGGCGCCTCTTCAGGCGGTGCCCTCGCAGGCGGCGTCACCATCAACGGCATTGCTCCCACGGCTACCGAAATCAAGTTTATCTTTGCCATGGTCGCCAACCTGAAGAGCAAGCCTGATGTCGATTGGGACAACTTGCAGAATGCCCTCGGCCTGCAAACCAAAAAGAGTGAGTTTCTTCAAATTCTGTTTGTTTGATTGATTTTGGCTCGCTTGGGGGACTGCCTTCCCCAGGGACTTTATCAACCCGGATGCTCATCACGGTCGAGCACCTGCATTTTTGAGATGATCGTTCCCGATTCCTCGCAACAGTTTTGGTTCCCTTAGGTTGCCCTCGAAGGCTTCATCTTGATGTATTACCAGTGACGGTTGCCTGAAGAGAGTCGCAGAGCAAGCGTTTCATGTTGGCATCCGCTTCGGCTGGCATACAGCTCATAGCGTGGGTTCACTCTTTGCTCTTTGCAAGAGTATAAACCTTACGACAGGCGGGGGCCAATCTTGATTCTGCTTACCCTCAGTGGGCCTCTCAAGAGGCTCTCTTTCTCTATCTTCCCTCCTCACACTCATTCATCTGCTTGTCTTCTTTCTTTTCTTTTACTTGACACCAGTCCAGTTATTTACTCGCAAGGCTTTTGAGAACCACTCGCTAACCGTCCCGCTCAAAACTAGGCACCTACGAGCGCTGGCGTCTGTTTCGTATCAAGTTCGGTATCGCTCATACCGATGACGGCAACAACGGCGACGGTGCAGCTCCCGGTTCTGCTCGCAAGGCTGCCGGCGGCAAAAAATCTGCCACTGCTGGTAAGGACGACGGCGCCAAAGACGGCGACGAGGGGCTCCCCGAGGCTGCCGCCGGCTCGCCCTCTGTCCCGGTTACCCCCGCCAAGCGCGGTAGAAAGCCTCCCGGCACTGCTACTCCGCGCTCGGCGGCCGGTAGGAAGCGAGCTGCCTCTGTGGCGAGTCCTGCTGCTGGTGATGAAGAGGATGTGGAGATCGAATCTCCCGCCAAAAAGGCGAAGGGCAAAGGCAAGGCTGCCGCTGCCGCCAAAGTCGACAACCAGGAGAAGCAGGATGATGCCGCCGCCAAGGAGGACGAGGCGCCTTCCTCTCCCCTCTCGCCTCCCCCTGAGACTGCTGCGGGCACGAGCAACGAGATGGAGGGGTAGACCGCCTCATTCTTTGTGCCGATTTGAAGGGTTCTCCTCTGGCATCTGATTTAGTCGGCATGCCTGAGACTGGCTTGGGTCTCTTTTTCTTTGTTCTTGCGGCTTGCTCGGGACCCTGTCCCCACTCACCGGGCTCAGCTCTGGTCTGGTTGAAATCTTGGAGGACCATGACTTGGCTCGACTCAAGGTTGGAGACGGCACAGGGTTGGAATGAAGGGTTCGGAATTTCAAGGTCATTATTCGGGCACCCAGGTTGGCGTTCGGGAACGAGGCGCCTACAAGGGACCCACTCGTCTGAGGCCTCGGTCTTACGATAATTAGGGACAATCAAGGGATCTCCTAATCAAGTCAGCGGCTGCTCTGTGTCGCTGTAACTCGGTCTTCGGCCTGCTGTATTCATGTCGGTCAGCCACTTGACTAAGGACAAGCCATACATCCCTAATCACGACCACCCTCCTATTTGTCTTCGGGGCTGTCAACCACCGATTAAGTTGTGGAAAAGATGGCCGACAGTTTTATTAGACCATTACAAATAGGCTCTGGATGATGACTTCTGATCGTGCTTCTGGCTCAGCCAGAGTCGCTCGGTGTCTTCATTTCCAGTCTGCTCTGACTTCGCAGAGACAGCATGGACCCAGACGACGCGAACACTCTGTTGCTTTGTGGGCTACGCACTCAATCAAGGTCTCATTGAACTCTCAGATCTGGCTGTCTGATATATCTGTTATTCAATTGCGTTTCTACAACGATATTACTCGGCGAGATTTATCGGGGCAGGCTACATCTGATACAGTCCGAGTAAGCGAACTGATGGCCTCCATTCACTCCAGTCACGTTCAACCCCTGAACTGTGTATGATGGAGGACACAGGGTTGCTCGGCAACGCGGTCTTGGCATACTCTTGCAGCTTGCTTCAGTTCAAGCAGCCATTGACCAGGTCATTGTTGTTCACAACGAAAATGTGCGATTCAGATTTTCACAGTGAAAATTCGGAATGCCGAGCGCCCGTCTTTACTATGTGCAAGATTGGCGGGACACAGATAGGTACAGGATGATCGTCGGCTCCCATGCCTCCAGATGCTTTTGGTGCCAGGGCAGTGCTGAGTTAAGGTAGGTAGGAGTTCCATTTACGATCACACGATGATTGAGCAAGCGAGGCATACAATCCTATGTTGGTCTCTGTGTTTCAGGTCATCGGGTAGACGAAGAATAATTCTCCTCGAAAAGAATCCCCAAGATTTCGAGTCGTTTATGAGTTCTAGGGGGAGTTGGGATGGGTGTTGACGCTAAACCGGGCACACAAGATCGTCCAAACGTGAAGCGTTTTCAGTGTTCCCTGGCTAGAGGGCAAGGCCGTTGAAGTTAATCCACGGCACCATCACGACAATCATCCCCGAGTTAACACGAAACCATCTTGATGATCAGACGTCCCGTTAATCAGCCGCAACAAAAGCAACCAAGGCAGGCAAGCCCTAATCTAGAGTTGTGCGCGCGCGAGAGACCAGAGAAAGAGAAAGCCCCGAAACCAGCCCATGATAATGACAGCACGCAGCCCAGTAAACCCGAGAATGGAAAAGAGACTTTTTCCCCTAAACACCTCGAATGCCCCAGCAAGCGAATAAATCCCGAGACTAAAACCCGTTCTGACTCCTCCAAAGAGCAAAAGCGCGTTAGTCCCAAACCGGAATTCCAACGCATGCCGAATGCCTCCGATTGTGCCAGAGAAAAAAAGAAAGCTTTTCTTCCCCATCCATCGCTGCCATGCCCATCTTGCCCATGTCATATCACAAGCTGCGGTTCCAGCCTCCCAGTTCCCATGAACGCAGTACTGTGTTTGTCCGTCCTCTGCGAGAAGGTGTCGTGATGCCGTGCCGAATAAATGAGTGATGCTTGTCGAGCCGCGATGGTAACGTGACGCGACGTGAACTCAGGCGAGGGGGACCCCAATAAACGGGCCCGAGGAAAGCCGAAACGAGGAAAGGAAAATGAGTTCAAGTGTCGAAAGTCTCAGAAGACCGACCGGTGTTCTGCGTGAGATGGAAATAAACCGAATAACGTCCCCAAATCAGGCCGAAAAGGACGGGTGAAGCGAGCTAAGAGAGGAAAGGTGGAAGAGATGATGTGGGAAAAGAGACAGGTCGGAGAAACACGAATTCTCTCGGCCTTGTCTGATTTTCTGCCTCCCAACCTCCCGAGTTGAGACAGGCGGATTCCCTCTCAGATGATCAAAGAAAAGTATCGGAGTCGCCGACTCGCGAGCGAGTCGGTCATGAACTCAACCGGCGTAGGCAATGTTGGAGTCCCTGCAGGACAAGTCAGAACATGAAGCGGAAGCATATTGGCGGGGACGAAGATACTCACTTGCCAGAGTCCTCCTTTTTGACGGGCTCGTCCTTAAACTTCTTGGACGGCTTCATGTCTTCTTCGTCATCGCTCATGACGGCGACCGGCTTGCGCTTGGTACCGGAGCCAGGCTCCTTCTTGACACTGGAAGCGACGCTCTTCTTGCGGCCGCCTGAGGTTTTCGGGGTCGACGGGCCCGCAGCACCGTCGCCTCCGCCGTTCTTCTCCTCCTTGCGGCGGAGCTTTTGGAGGTGCTGACTGTGAGAAGGGAGAGAAATCGTTAGCCCATCTTATTTCTTTTCATATAATGCGGGAAATTGAAGGTCAAGTAGAATAAATGCAACGCAAGGCAAGTCAGTACGTGATCGCTTTGACAGTGCAAGTGTAGCCGAAGCCGTGCATGCGAGCCATGATACCGCGCAGCTGCTCCTGCGTCGGGTGGAGTTCCTGCATCATGGCCGTAAGCAGGTCATGATCAGCATGAAGATCCCAGGTCATTCGCTCAGCCATCTTGACTGATGGCTCGCTTCCTGGTTGGCTGGTGGTGATGGTGGTTTGTGTAGTAGGCGTGGGCAATGAAAGTGAGTGCGAAAGTCGCGAAGAGAAATGTGGAATAGCGAAGGTACAGGAATCGGGTTGAGGGGGGATTTACATCGCAGCGCTGGCCGTATATTCGTAGCCCTTTTTGCGTACTTCGGACAGGATCTTTTCCCATTCACCGGGCTGAGGCGGCGATACCGCCATTATAGCCTGGAGCAGCGCCAGGTGCGCATCGTGGTCCCAAATCGTCGGTTGCTTGGACATATTTGCTGTGGGCGTGTATATGTCTCGGTGAAGGGGGAAGCAAATGCAGAGGGTGAGGATGGTCGACGAGTGGTGGATGGGAGATTGGAAGTTTTTGGGGGAATGGGTGTTGCGAGAAGGAAAATAGAGGCAGACCAGCACGGGACTGAAACTGGCAGCAGCCAGCATGCAGCTGGCCAGGATCTCGTCCCATGTCTTCTGGAACGTACACTAAAGCCCCTTCAGTGAAGGTGTAGCCCTTGCGGTGGAGAGATGCGACAATAGCAGTCCAGTTTCCTCCAGTAGGCTTCATGTGCTCAATCAGGGCGAGCAGCACATCCTCGTGCGTTTCTGCATCCCAGTTCTGGAGAACGCGTTGCCCAGGCATGGTGGGTGCGTGATGACGGTAACGATTGTCCTCTGTCAAGGTTTTGTTGATGGACAGAAGAAGTGACGGTGAAGAACTGCAGCTTCCATGGACGTCGTGGAGGAGAGTGAAAGTGAGGTTGGTAGGGTGTTAAAAAGAGGAGGAAGGGGTGAAAGCAACTGAAAGAAAGAGCTGCAACATCAGCCCAAGGTCACCCCAAACACTCGCTGAGATGACATCGCAGAATGATTCTGCCCAGAACTTTCTGGGCCACGGTCTCTAGACAGGTGAACGTACCGAATGGCATTCCAGCCCATGTCATGCCCTCTGGCTCGCATGTGCGCAACAATCTCAGCCTGCTGCTCCTTGCCAATGGGAGGATGTGCCTGAATGATGGCCTCAAACAGGTCATCCCTAATGTCTTCCCACCTCGGCATTCTGGGGATTGTGGCAGCGATATTATGAGTGCGAGAATGGGCTGGAAATTGTGCTGTGGTCCCTGATGATGGACTACGTCGTTGGTTGACTCGGTGATGAGTTGGCTTGGAATTTGCTGGAGAGTTGGAGAAGGAAAAACCGCAGCAAAGCTCAAAGAAGGCCGCCACAAGAAATTCTCACGAAACCCAACAGCGGGCTCTCGTCCCAACAATGCCGCCGTTCACTGCCCAGCGCTTGCGACTTGAGGAAGTCAACAGATAGGGTTGTGATGCGCAGCACCGAGACTGACGAACGGTCTAATGGTGAGAAAGAAGAGAAGGCAAAACAGGGAGCAGGGATGAGAAAAAAAAGATCAAAGCAGGTTTCGCTTGCGGGATATGCGTGTAACAGGTCTCTCAGAAAAGGGGTACTAAGGTAAGGCAAGAGTCGCCGTCCACTTACCACATAGCCTCCCGCGTGAATTCAAAACCACGATCCCTCATCTCGCCCATGATCTCATCCTGATGCTTGCTCATATTGGTTTCGCCATCGTTGGGAATTACGTTGACAAGAACGCCAATGAGTGCCTTGTGAGTGTTCTCGTTCCACTTGGTATTGACGGGCTTGTCGTCGGAATTGCCGTTCTGGTGGACATGGTGATGGTTATAGCGTTGTGTGTACGCGAGAAGTGGCTGTCTTATTCAGTGTGTTGTTGTTGGTGGTTGATGGGTGCGTTGGCTCTCCTCGCAAGGTTTGTGGGGTGTGTGTGAAAGGAACGATGGAGAAAGAGAAGACGTGAAAGATTTAAATATGAACACCAAGCGGTCAACCCGGGCCTCAACGAGGGCTAGTCTTGTGGAACCTCACGGAACACGCGGGCTCAGCGTTGGCAGGGCGAATGTTGACGGCAGTAACAGTAGACACACTCCAAAGGAATGGAGATAGCACAATTGGTTGAGCACATGGCAATCTGGTTGATAAAGTACAGATGTAAGCACATTGCACCCAAGGTATATCAATGGACGGCAACTCACAACGACCGAGGGCAGCAATTGTGCAGCTAAACGAACAGGCATCTAGGCAATGAATCGACATTGACCTGACTGAGGATAGACAGACCTGCCAAAATTCCGAGACGACTCCTAAAGAACACCTTGTCCATGAAAGAACCATCGTACATCGGCTGAAAATGATGCGCCGGACCTAGATTCGACTGCACGACAAGGAACGCCGCCCGTCAATTCCCGGTCCTCCTGGCGAGGAAAATGCCTTGTCGTTTTCAATTACCTGGCCAGAGATTGCCGGGCTGAAGAAGAGTGGAACGAAAACTAAGCATCCCCATATGTGTATCTGGTATGGGTGTCAGCGTTGGGGTACCATGAACGATGGATACACTGTGGGGGCAAAAACTCACTCAGATGTGTATTCGCCTGGTGTTGTCGGGTTGTTGTGGCCAGCAAGGACATTGAGCACTGCCTCGTCCTCGAGGGTGGGCTCTTGACTGTCGTCCAGCCTCTGGCGCTTTGCCGCGTGCTCCTCCTCCGGCTCTTCTTCCAGGTTCGGATCAACGGCGAGCTCCTCGGGGCTTGTCATATGTGCCTGGGCCATTTGTGCCTGGGGAGCAATTGCTTGGCTGGCCTGTGGCGGTGGTGGTTGAGGCTGGCCTTGAGCGACCGCAAGTCCCTGCGGAGCGGGTTCAAGTGGCATGCCAGGGGTACCCGGTATACCCGGAACTGTAGAAAGGGGTGCAGTAGGAGCACTGGGCATCCGACCCACACCTGGGTATTGAGGATGGATAGCTACTCCATGAGGCACGCCGGCAGTCTGCCCGACCCCGGGCACAAGGGGTGAAGGAGCTCCGGAAGTACCAGACGTGACATCGGCAGGCGAAACGCCGGCAGACTGAGCTCCAACAGACTGAGCTTCGGCGGGCTGAGTCCCAGAAACGGGCGCTGAGCCGGGCGCGGTCGCGGCAGCGGGCTGTTTCCTGGGCCGTCCTCTACCAGGGCCAGGCCGTCGAGTGATGGGGTTCACAGCGGGATCGATCTTCCTCGAATTGTCGCCGGCGACGTTGTTTTCGGCCTTGTTTTGGGCTCTACGGAGGCCCTGGAAGTGTTGGCTGTTCATGGGTTAGATAGCGTAATCTTGTGAACAAGGGCGTTTGGTCGATGATGAGGGTAGATGATATCACTTGAATATTCAACGGATCTCAACGGCAAGCAAAGAGATGCAATTGATGCAGCATGTTTGAGGGGAAGCAATACCACGCAGCTTCCTTAACAGATCGACAGCCGAATACAACGACGATGGCTATTGATGGAAAGGCCTTCAAACTTGAAGCTGGCGACACGAAGCAAACAACACTCACCGGCATCCTTCATTGGTGAAGCCGTAGCCCAGAGAGCGCATGTGGTTGCCTATCGTGGTCCATTCTGAGCCGCTGATGACGCCAATGTTCTTGACTGACAAGATGGTGAAGAAGAGGTCCTTGTCGGCCCGGTCGTTCCAGTTCTTGTTCATGGCTGCAGGGCTGCAACGGCGAATGTCGCCAGCTAATAATGGGCGGCCCTCGGAGTGGATATGACTCGACAACTTGGAAATTGCTAAGGTTTGCTAAGGAGAGATGGATGGGCAGCGGGGGGAGGCGAGGTGCTCAAACAGCTCACCAGCGGCCTGATCATTCAGCGGGTGTCGAATCTCGCGAAAGGGTTGGCTGCTGTGGGGCCAGAGTGGGGTTGGAGATCCAATCAAATGGTTCAAATGAAGCGGCAGGGCTTGCTGCCTCAGGATCACAAGTTTGGCGCCCTCGCATCCACACCGTCCCTTCTGAAATGAGCCGTCAGATGATTTCGCGCCAATATCGCGACAGCAGACCCACAGTGATAAATGATTACGACACGCTGTTTGCCTCGTTTTCTCTTGGTCACCAACCTCCTCCATTCAGGCAGTGCTCTGCCATCAGTACAACCCACCACTGTACACATCACAGATCAGGCACAATGATGCCCCTCAAGCTACCTTAATCAATTTTCTGTCTCTTTGACATGCCTGCAAACGATGGTTTGCACTAAACAAAAAAGTGCCATTCTTTTGAGTTGTTTTTCTGCTCCTGCGCTGGCTACGGATAGCAAGCAATAAGTAGTCGAGACAAGGTCATGTCCCTTGTCAAGCTTGGAAGGATGGTTCCGCACTGACCCCAGAGAGTGCTGTCACAAGGCAGCCAAAGGGTGATGGCAAGTGCCACGGATAAGCATCTTCTCAGGACTTTGACCTCGACTGATTCAAATGGGCCAGTCATGCCCCATCCTGTCGGATAACGAAGCGTGCTTGTAACTACCGCCGTCAGTGTACCAGCCCCTCGGCGGTCTGGATGGAAGAATTCTCAGACAGTGCAAGCCAACGTCGAGGCCGACAAACGGCACAAGCTCCCTGTCTATCCGTTTGCGACCCAAGGCGAAAACTCCTAAGCGACATTCAAGTGACTCATTCGTGTGGCCGGAGGTCTGCTTGACTCGAATAGCTCTGCCTTCACTGCTCGGTTGTCCGGCCAGAGAGCCCCTTTGTTTGCTCTCAGCTGCATCATTCAGGTGATGAAAAGCTAAGAGGATCGAGCCTCGATGGGGTAATTTGCAATTCACCACAGCTTGCAATCGCTCTCCTGCACCTCTGGATGGTGATTGTCGCTGTCCTCGGCAGGGAACAGGGATCTGCATGCCTTAGGTTGGAAGAAACCACTTTACGCGGAAGTGCCGCGGTGGCGCGTCGCCCAGTCGCTCCAGCTTCCCTCCATCACCATTTTTCAGTGCGACGATCTGCTTTCTTTTGTTGAGTGCCCCCACCCGACGATAATGGCCAGGCAACCATCCCCATTTCCGTGGTAGCGATTCACAAGAGCCCTCGTTTGGGATGGATTTAAACAAGGGGGATAAATAGACGAGAAAGGAACAACTTCGCTTTTGGGCGCTTTCACGCTGCAGCTTCAGCTCCGCATGCGCCTTTCTCCTCATTGGGCAATGGCTCGCTTTCTACTGAGCTAAAGCATCCAAGGAAGAGGCCATCTTGTTTGACTGGGAACAAATGGCCGATAAGGTACAGCTGCTGATTGCCTCCATCCCGCCCTGCTTCTGAAGCCAAGCGAACTCCGTCCAGACAACGGGATCTTTCTCCCCGCTCCGCTTCCCTCCCACTCCAAAGCAGAGCCTCGTCATCACCAAGCCTGAAAGCATCCTTTTTATGGTGAAACAGACATATATTCCGACAGTCTCACCACCCATTTCCGTGACTCACTTCTCCACACTCGAGCCGTGGGTTTCGGCTGCAGTGATCCTGGCCACGCCTCCTCGCTCGTAGCGGTCAAGCCTGCTGTTCAGCTTCTTATTGATCTGCTGGGACCGCATCACCCCCAGATATTCCTCTTCTTTCCTGTTCTTGGTTGTGTCAGCCGGCCCTCGACGGCTCCGCCCCTTTTCCTCCCTCAATCAGATTGCGGCCAGGCCACCAACACCGCCAACATGTCGAACAACGACAATGTGATGGCTCGCTTTCTGTTCGCAATTCTGCAGCAGAAATGCCTGAAGGATGTAAGTTACTGAAAGTGTTGGTTGGGATGGAAAGCGGGGCACTAAAGGCTTGTTTCGACCAGATCGACTGGAACAAGGTGGCCCACGACCCGATTCTGGCTCAGCCCATCACCAACGGACATGCTGCCCGCATGCGATACTCGCGGTTCAAGGCAGCCATGCTCGGCACGGAGCCGCAGCGCCGGAACCGCACTAATCCCAGCAACAGCAAGTCGCGCGTGTCCAAGAATAAGAAGGGCGACAGTCCCATGCCCAAGAAGGAGGAAGAAGAAAAAAGCAGTGGCAGTGGGATTGGCAACATCAAGACCGAGAAGCCGACCGGTACCACCTCCACGACCATCAAGTCCGAGCGAAGCGATGCCCAACAACCCCAACCCCCTGCATCCATGACAGGCCCAGCAACAACGATGAAGACAGAGCCTGGTCTCGTCCATCCCTACAGCCAACACCAACGCCATCCTTCAATCTTTTCCACCGCCTCTCCCCGTATCAAGCAAGAGCGGCTCCCTACCACCGCCGCGAACACGATCGCCAACACCACACCCCCCATGCCCGAGCCCAGACCTTTCGGCCTCGTCACTACCATGCCCACCACAACAGCCTCCGCGTCCTCGGTCCCTTACTTAGACAGCCAGCATCGAATGCAGATGCGTTTCCCCACGCCGTGCAGCGACTCAGACGGTGTGCCCAGCATGAATGGCTTTCTCCCGCTCAGCCCAGTTCCCTCCACGGCTGACCTCCTCCACCAGCATTCACAGCACCATCAGCTCGTCGGCGCCGGATCCCCGCCCCTCTCCACCACGGCCTCGACTTCCTCCCCGTACGACTTCACCCACTGTGACTCGTCCCCCACGCCCTGGCATTCACAGCCTCATCCCCAGCAGCACCACCAGCATCACCACTCAGTTGTACATGCGCTCGGTCATGCTCACCACAGCCAGCCAGCCATATACTCGGCCTCCCCGTCCTCCGCTTCCGCTTCCGCGTTCGGCCTCGGCCTCAACCTTGATCTCGGGGGTGACAACAACAGCAGCAGCAATAATATTCATCATATCATGAACACATTCTGTGGCGAGCACCATCATTATCACCATCAGGGTCACGGGTTTGACGAGGAGGGGCATCTCGAGCTTGACACGCTCGGGCTCAACGTCGGCGGGGCCTCTGCTGGTGCTGGCGCCGGGGGCGGCATGAGCTTGTTTCGGGAGAGGGAGTTGGAGATGGAGATGGCTACTGCTGCTGCTGCTGTTACCGGTCAGCAGAGAGTTGGCGGCGGTGGTGGCGATGGTAATGCCGCGGGAGGGCAGGTCAAGGCGGAGTGGGAGGAGGGGTTGAGATTTGAGATTTGATGTCTAATGTTCTATGTCTGATGGAGTTTGTTGCTGCTGGCTACCACGTATTGGTCACGATTGGGAGAAGGGTTTGCAAAATGGACTGATTTAGATGATGGATGGGAGGGACTGACTTGTTACCTAGTTTTACGGGTCTGCTTGAGCTGTTGCTGGCACAGGAGTCTCTTGAGAGATGGCACTGATATGTCCCAACATTGTTGTACTCCAATACCCCGCGAGGTATCTCAGGTTGTTGATGGCATAAGACGGCATGACTTGGCTCGAGGGTTGTAAAATGGGATGAAGATCTTGAGAATGTGGTAATATCCCCACCTCACTCTTTGCTCCCCGTGGATGATGTCGTGTTTTGATCTCTCCTAAGCACTGTTGCTGCCTCTATCAAGTGTTCCATCAAGCCTTTCGACGCCAGTAGACTTCTGTCGGTGAATCTTCCTTGATCTCATGGATACGCCTACGTTCCTTATGAAACAGTGTGAAGGTATTATATACACTCAGCTCGTAACTCAATGCCGCCTTAATGAAGAAGGCGTGTCATCATCCACCGCTAATGGAAGCACTCTTCAGAAAGCTGACATCATCTCATCTCAGCCTATGTATCAAAATCGAGGCGCCTCAGACAACCTATACAAGCAACGCTATGCAAGAAGTACTGAGTCCTGGTAACTGCTGCTGTTTGTGATATGAACGACGCTGTTGTATCAGCGATGCGTACAGTCCTATCCTGCTCTGACACCCACAAGCACTCTGCACCACCGGGGTGAACGTCTTGGAATAGCCTGACCGGTTCAAGGCTATCATGGGACAGTGAATAAACACTTATTCTCACCGGTGGCTGAATGATAAGACATATACACAAAAGCACTAACCCCGGTGAGAGCAGTTGTTCTCTCCTCCACATCCACAAAGTTCTGGGTCTCCCGCTTTATTACTTTATTCCCACTTTCACTTCCTTCCAGCAGGACATGATCGCTTCCCACCATAACTCTGCAACCGCCTGAACCTGCAATTCGCAACACAATCCTGTTGTTGCTTCAACTCGAGACCAAGCAGAAAAAGACCGTAAGTTCAAGTTGGTCTTCAATGTTTCCATGATTTCAACCCAGACCTGGCCTCTCCGACTTGTTTTCGCTCTTTGTTAAGTTGGCCGGACGCGATTCTCAACTTTCTATTCTTGCATTCCACTTCAGACAGGTTGTGTTCCTCCGTTCGATGACGCGTAACTCCAAAGCGGCGGACTAATCCTAAGAAACAGAAGTGAAGAGGTATCGCTTCCGCTCTCTGTCGCGTTCTGTCGTCTGACCCTGCTGTTTTTTCCGCTGCCCTCTCGCTCAAGTGAGCCGCATCTAGTTCCAAATCTTCTCCGTTCTTACTGTGCTGTTTGCATTTTGCGATTCTTGAAACATATTGCTGACGATATCGCCCTTCAACAGGCCTTCACAACAGTCGGTGATTTCCATCGACGGTAGACTCTCGCAGCATAGCCTGAGCGACAACAACAAGACAACAAGAAAGATGCCTCCCAAGACTGCAAAGGCAGCTCCCGCCGGCGACGCCGGAGATGGTCGCAAGCAACCCACTGCCCAAGAGGCTTACTTGTTCTACACAATCATCAAGAACATGAAGGGCAAACCCGAAATTGACTGGGCCGCAGTCGCTGTCGACGCCGGGTTCAAAAATGCTGAGACAGCCAAGGTTAGTTTCTGCCTTTCTCCCATTCGAATTGATCCCGCTTCCACCAATCGTCCAAATCGCCATCGCAAAGTCCATCCCCAGAGTTGAGACCTTCCTGCACAGATCTTCTTTGTCTCTAGAGTGCGCTTCTAGATGACTTGACGGCTAACATATCTCTCCCCAAGGTCCGCTACGGACAAATCAAGCGCAAACTCGGCCTGGACAACTGGAACGCCGGAAAAGCGAAGGACGCTAAGGACGAGGACGCCGGCGACGATGGCGCGCCAGAGACCCCCGCGGCCGCGCGCATCAAGAAGGCCGCAGCAACCCCTTCCACCGGCGGCACCGGTGCTGGCGTCAAGAAGCGCGCGAACACCGGCAAGCGTGCCACCAACTCGACCCCCGGCGGCCGCTCCCGCAAGGCTAAGTCCCAGGCTCTCATCAAGATGGAAGTGGGCATGGACCAAGACCTGAACCTCGAGGAAGATGAGGACGTGCTGGCTATTGAATCGCCCACCAAAAAATCTGGCAGCCGCATCAAAAACGAGTTCGGGGCGGTCGGCCACCATCTCAACGTCAACAACGAATTCGACACCTTCCCTGCCACCCTGCCCGACGCCGTCCTCGAGCGTCAGGCTATTCTCGTCTACGTCAACGGCACTTGGACCACGTCTCCCGTGCCCATCGAGGTCCACGCCCAGTGGCTCGCCCGACTGCCGGCGCATATCCAGACCCGCTTCTACACTCAGGCCTCCGGCGCCAACATGTCTCAGCCCGCCGACAACGGCAACGGCAATGGCTTTCTCGCCAATGATGATAACGACAACAACCCTAATATCGATGCGGCCGCCCTCCAAGCCCAGTTGCTCAACGAGCACTTTGGCGGCCCCAACATGCTGAGCAGCATGGGTATGTCGATGTGCATGGCTGGCGTCGAGGTCGGCAACTACGTTAGTGCCTCGGCTACCGGCGTCGGCCAAGGCCACGGCAACGGCGACGACAATGGCAATCGCAACAACGGCAACCAAGCCGTGGCTGCGGCAGAAGTCGACCTGCACTCGATTCCCATGCACCCGGGCTACATGGCGCAGATGGAGCGCGAAGCGCGCGAGCAGGAGGCACGGGACCATGCCATGCTGTTTGGCAACGGGAGCGGGTTCTGCTAAGCCAGCCTGAGCCATGCTCGAGGTATAACTTACTGCCAGAGCAGTTGCGTCTTGCTGGGATCTGTTTTGCATCTTCTCGTCAGGGATTAACGACCAGGACGGGCTCTATGTTTCCCGACTGAGAGATGGTTTACCTTTCTTTATCGATGCACCTGAGGCAGAGCTGGGAGGAACTCGAGCCCATCACGACCGGTTGGGTCGGAGGTGACCTCGACACGTACTTACCTCACTGCTTCGTCTATCTTCCCATTTTGATTCGGTAATATTATTCCCCATTTCGTATCTCTCGTTGTTTTTTTGCGTCTCTTTCATCGACGCCTGCGACTTGGGATGCACGCTTGGGTCTAGGGACATCTTAACTCTGGGTCTGGTCTGGCATATGACATGACATGGCACGGCGTTGCATAAGATGGCGTGGACATGGCCTTGGGCGGATCCGTGCTTCTTGGGATGGTACCTAGGCGGCATACACCTGGCGGACTTCGGTGTTGATGGGAAAGGATCACAGGTAAATAGCCACTCACGGATTTCACTGACGAAACAAATCACCGAGCTTTCGTGGGCGTTGTGATTTGACAATTATGGTGTTTATTTGTCTCGGATTGTGACATCCGAGTCTCTTCATCCATGCAATCCGCTCCCGAAGGCCCGGTGGCCCTTAACGAGGGGGTAAGCGCCTCACTTCCCTCATACATACAGGAAGCGCCGGAGCGTCCGAGATGAACTGGACAGTATACACATACACCAGCCATGCGTTCCTTCCACTTCCTCTCCATCCGAGAGCGAGAGAACCCTCCTCCATCTCTCTCAACCGAGTAGATCAAAATCAACACAAAAACGGCAGCAAGGCCCTACTTCCATCGGACCACCTTGCCGCAGGTATCACTAGGTAAAACAACCAGCCAAGACATAAACAGAGAAAATCGAAAAGCAGACCGCCTGTCGCCGGCTAAACGACTGGGCAAGCATCCCAACAAGAGCCGCAAACAAGAGACAGAAACCTTGTACAGAGCCATGCACAATAGACAACAAGTCTTTTGCCAACAAACCGCCTGCACCCCGGCCCGACCCAACCGCAACCCAAGCCAGCCAACTCCAGTCCCAAAGAGGATTCCATTATCGCCTGAACCCCTAAAAGCCCCTGAGAGTAAACTACCTGACAGCAACCAGCCAACCAGGTCCGTTCCGCGCCAACCTTCCCACCAACATGCCGGAAATGTGCAGAGTTAGATCCTGCGGAAGACAAACAAATAAAAGGAATGTGATAAGGAAAACAGAAAAAGAAAGAGGTATCGTCCGCCATTCCGATCGTTATCCGCGTCCCCTCGGCACAGAGAACCATGGAAATCAAGCAAATAAAACACTTGGAGGAGAGACCGTCCGGTACAGGTCATTCGTCTGGCCGCCTTTGTTTGCTAGTCAGTTGGCCTCCCGGGTCCGAGTTTCTTCCATGTGCTGCGGAGATGCATAGCATAGCACGAACAGGAAAGATGCTGCCAAATAGTACAGTTGTGGGGAAGTGAGAGAGGTATGGTGATATGCATCGTGATGTGATATTCCGCGGCGCACTTTTTAGTATGTTGCAAAGTGGCCATTTCTGTTGGACTGGCCGTGGGGAGTGAGGCCGTGTAGGTAGAGTATGCGAGCGTTCGTGGTTCGGATGGCGGAGTAACTTGAATGTCGTATGAGGTCGGGTTTCAGTGCCGGGACCCGTTGAGCGGCGGTCGGGGTTTATCTCTCTCTCGATCCCTCTCGCGGTCCCTATCCCTATCCTTGTCCTTGTCCCTGTCCCTGTCGCGGTGACGGTCGCGGTCGTGGTCCCGCTCCCGCTTCCGGTCTTGGTCCCTGTCTCCTTTGACTGTGACCTCGGGGGTCCATCGCACACCTTCCCTCTCCGCCCACCTCTTCATGACCGTCAGCACGGCCACAACCGCGTCATCCACCGACGTCCACGGCCCAACAAGCGTTCTCATCTGCCGGTCCTCGACCTCCCCGTACGCGGCATTCGCCTCCGCCCACATGCCCACCCTGCTCCGATTCAACTTGCACCACTTGACAAAGCTACCCGCCGCGGCGGCGGGATCCAGCGTCGCAAAGGTGTTGGTGATATGCTCCAGACACAGCACGTTCATCTGCACAGCGAGGGCCCGGAGTGCCTTGTTCCCCTGGACCTGGACCCGGTTCCTCAGTTCCGTCAGGTGCGGCAGCAGCGACTCCCACGTCGAAACATCGCACACCTTGCGCTCGAGCATGCGAGCCTGGTTGGCCGAGCCAAAGGCCATCATGTAGGCGAGAAGCATTTCAAAGTGAAGAGCTGTGACGCGGCGCTCGTCGGCGACCGACAGTTTGGCGCCGCCGTCTCGGCAGATTTTGTCGCGGACGTGCTTGAGCTTGGTGCCCAGCCGCACGTTTTCGGCGTGCCTCTCCTTGAAAGACTCAACTTGGGCGAGCGCCTTTGGGTCGAGCGGCTCCGAGCGGGTCGGCGGCCGGTCTGACGTGCTCGGGGTGAGACCCGTCAAGGCGGCGGGGGTATTGCCTTGCGTCTGGCTCTGGCTCGACGCTACCCGCGACATTGCAGTGGCGGCGTGCTTAAGCGGCGTTGTTGGCCGCGGAGGCTTGGCTGTGATGGCCTCCGCAGTTGGCTTTGGCCGCTTGGTAGCGGCGGGTTCCTGAGGCACGTCGTCTGCCGGCCGCGGCCGCTTCTTGGCAGCCGGCGGAGGGGCGGCTTCCACGCTCGTTGATCGCTCCTTCTTAAGTGCATCCTTGGCTGACTTTGATGGGAGGCTCAAGAGCTCTTTGACCCTCTTCACGTTTGCCTTGTTTTTGATCTTGAGAGGGACTATCAGAGACTTCCGCTCCGGTTTCTCCTCTTCCTCCTCTGCCAGGCGTACAGGCGGCGCGGCCACGATTGTTTTCCTCGCGCCTCCTGAGGAGTCAGAGGACTGGTCGGGCGTCTGGCTCGAAACGCCTTTGGAAGCTGTTGATTTTCGGTTTTGAGCGGACAGGATCTCCTCAATGACTGGCGGCAGCGTGGGAGAGAGCAGCCTGGGTATAGAGAGCAGCTTCTTAGGCTTGTCCTTCTCCGGCTTCAATGTCTTCTCTGTTGACTTTTTCTTGGGCGTGGCTTCTTTCTCTGCCTTGGCCTCGAAGATAGACGGGTGAAGGGGTGATAAGAGTTGCGGCAAGGCAGCTTTCGCTAAGGGTTCGGATTTCCGCGGCGTCGAAGTCCCGCTGTCTGAACGAGGCCTCGATCCATTGACCTGAATGGTCGATCTGGGCGATGCCGTGTTTTCTCGTTCTTTGTCCGAAGGGGCAGGCAGTCCGTTGACAGTGGGATGTAAGAAGGCGGTACTAGTGCCCTTTGGACGCTTCTCTGTCGTCCGTTCCTGTCCCCGCGATGCCTCTGGCTTGCGTTGCCGTGGCTGATCTGTCTCCACGGGCCCAGCGTCGGCTTTGACTCGTTTCTGTGGAAGCGGGCTGTTGTCCTTATTTGCGGCGCGCTTGCGGCTTTCGGCCTCCGGCTGTGGGTTTGTCTGAAAAGTCTTACTTCTGCTGGGTCCGTCAGAAATCTGCGATGCATACCACCACCTGGGCGTTGCTCCACATACCTCTCGCCGTTAATATCCACCCTTGGCTTCTCTAACCGCGCATCCGTCCTCTTACTGTCCTCCCTTGACGGGGCCGGCTTCGCATGGACTATGCCGTTTGGCTTCGCCTCCACCTTCGCTGCCGTCCCGTTCTCCACGGGAGACGCCGACTTCTTCCTGTTCTGATAGTCCGAAAGAGACAGTTTCTTCTTACCCTCGCTCTTGGCGAGTACCTTGGTCGACATTGGTGGCGGCAACTCGTCCGAAATGTCAAAGGCGGCGCGTGTTGTGAGAATGCCTCGCTGCCCAGCAGAAAGGTATGTCATGTATTGCAAAGGCCCACTTCTGCCAGTGAACCACCATGTGTCCGGGTTCGGGAATCGGCGGTCAAAAGACAATGAAAGATGGTGTGGGTTGTCCGGAAGGATGCGCTGAGCCTCGTTGTGTGCAATTTTCGCCGCTCCATCCATCGTTTCTTTCATTGCTCGGACATCGGAGTGGCCAAAGAGAGAGTCGTGTCGCACGGGTTGGCGGGGTATGCGCTTGAAGACGGCTGCCCGGCAACGTATACTGACGACGCGGAATGAGGCTTTATCAGGTCGTGGATATCGACGGAAAACACGCGCTCAGAACTGGTCTGTCCTCGGCTGAAGAGTCGCGGCGCAAGTTGGTAGGTCGTGAAATCGCGGATCAGGATCGTTCAGGTGTATGGGGAACAGCGCGCAGCTTTTCTCTGCAAGGCCGCGCAGTTAGCATTTGGTGCGGAAAATACAGGAACCAGCACGCGATTGCTAGGCGACCAAAGCGTCACATGCTCCGACAGAGGTTGACAGCCCAATTGAACTCAGACGCAAGTCGACAGTGTCAAACTCCTCCAGCGGACCACGTACCCAGACTAGGCGCTTGTCGCACACAACAACCTTCCTCCCCCGGCCGCGCTCGACAGCCGAAGACAAAGGGGCGGTAGCGCTTTGCAGCCCGGCTTCTCGCAGTGTAAAGAAACCTGCCCGTCTTCTTCAGCTCGGCTTATCCCAACCTCCTTGCAGCGACCTTATCTTCGCGGGTGAGACACGGGCGCATCTCTCGGGGCTGCAGGCCGTGTGCCGTTGAGTGATGCCCGCGAATGATGGCCGGGGAAAAATGTCACCAGGAAGCTGTGACAGCAAGTAATGTGATCAAGTGCCAAGTCCGGCTGCGGTGTGCCGCACCGAATTGCTTCTTGGGATCAAAAGGCTCAGTGGCTCGGAGGTGGTGATGTGACAGGGTTGGGAGTGGTGTGGGCGCAGAGAGCCGAGGGTGGGATTCCGGGAGGCCAACAGTGGAGAGCGACAGGGTGGATGAGCTTGGTTTTGCTCGGGCCTCCGGGGCGGAGGGGGCCCACAGCGTGACCCACGGGCCACGGCGGTGGGAGATAATCCATGCATGGACTACCGTAGGTACGGACGGGGAGTCCAGGGCCACTCTATCCAACTCGCACTTTTCAGCACTTACTAATCATCACCCCAATTTAGGTAAGGTAGGTAAGAGCACAAATCTCTTATTAGGTATAACGTTATGACAGATTAGATTTTGGGACCCTTGTTCAGAACCACTTTAATGAACACTGCCGCGTTCTCGCTATCGTTCAAGACAATGGCAGAATCCTACCTCTTGCTCTTGTCTCCGTCACAACCGTGACGCTTTTTAGAGTCATTTGCATGCAGCGATATTGAGCTATGGCAGGGCTTGCGGTTGTCTCACATCTTCAGCCTCCTATACCTTAACTGACCACGTAGGCGAGAGAGAAAAGACGGTATAACTTGTAGGGACTATACATCCTGCCTATTGACCACTACTAGTAAGCCCAAGCTATCAACCAGATGTCTAAGATTCACCCTACCACCCCGACGATACTCCAGTCTCCGCCAAATGGAGCGACGGGACTAAACGCAGTCTGATTAAGTTACAAGTACAGGGTGAAAATGACATCTGCTTGCTGATCCGACATCAATTCCACAGAGCTGCCGTGAGCTGACCCATGATCTGGATGTTCGCAAGACACTCCCGCCCGAAGTCCGCTCCCAAAGAGCGTCGCCTCCATTCCAGCCTTCCACAAAGAACATGCTCGTCTGCGCAACTACGACTTCCAAGCAAGCCGGATCTCAACTCAATCAGTTCCGTTTGTTTCTAAATGTTCCGCACCGTTCTCCAACTCCCACCGCTTCCGCTTTTGGCTCGGTTGCCGACTCCCTTCCGCGTCCTTGAGCAGATACTCTTGTATTTTGGCCACTTGAGCCCTATCCGACTTGGCCTCGCCAAGTCTGTCCACCTTGCCTCTGAAATCCTGGACTCGCCCTTCGAGGCTTTCGAGACGGGAGCCGAACCTATCGATTTGCTTTTTCAAAGCCTCGACATTGTCGGTGAGCTGACGAGCATTCGGGTAGAGACCCTCAAGCACGCCGATAATGACCCTAGCTAAGTCATTAGTCGTCAGGTTCTTGTATTGCTCGTTTAGGACCATGAGCGCGAGCCGTTCGGCGTCCAGTTGCCTATTCAAATCCTCTTTAGAGGTGCTGATGTCTTTGATGGCCTCGTCGACTTTGCTTGAGAGCTCCGTGTACTGCCGGGTGAGCTGCTCTGCTGCAGCCTTGGCTGAATAACACTCGGACTTCAGCAATGCCAAGTCCGGGTTTGCCGACGGAACCTCATCAGTCAAGGTCCCGCTCCTCCCAGTGGTCGGGCCAGCACCGCCCGGTAGAGATTCTTCCAAGTTTGCAATCCGCGTGCCATGGCCGGTTACGGTGTCCTGCAGCCCATCCACCATCTGACCCAGAACGTTCCCCACCCCTCCCACATATGTTTCGACTCGGCTGAATATTTGCTGATGTCCGATCTCCAGCTTGGCGTCGAGCTCCTTGGATATCCCGTTTACCTTGGCTTGGATGGCGGTCATCTTCGTTTGAAGAGCCGGGAAACCGACCGAGATCGTCTCGGCTGCCTCCCCGAGAGCATCAATATCGAGGCTCGAAAGTTTCGACTCATGCTCCTCCACTTTCCGAGCCTCTTCCTCTACTCGCTGAGCACTGGTCGTCAGGCCGTTGCGTAGGCCGGCCATCTCTTGCGCTTTCTGGGCTAACTCCCCAGCGAGCGCATCCACCCGGCACAGGAGGCCCGAGACGTCGGACCGCAAAGCCGAGCTTTCTTTCTGTACCAGGGTAGAAATCTCTTTCCGAAGGGCAGCCTCAGAGCTATTCCTGTGCGCCAACAGCTGTTGCTCCACCGCTTTCGTCACATCCTCCTCGTGCTTGGAGAGTTGAGACCGTAGATCGTTCGGTTGGGATCTGCCTTGCTCTGTTTGCCGTTTCTCGGACTCCTTAACGAGATGGTCCTTCATCTCACTCCGCATCTCTTCCTTCATCGCCCTCCACATCTCACCCTTGATTTCCTTCCGCATCTCTTCCTTCATCTCCTTCCGCATCTCTTCCTTCATGCCTTTCACGGCCTTGATTTGCTTTATGTCGTTCTTCGCCTTGAATCCCTCCACCTGCTCCTCCACCTGCTCCTTTATCTGCTCATTCGTCCACTCCTGCATTTCTGCAATCTTCTGAGCAAACTCGGTCCGAAGTTCGCTTAGCTCCCGCGAATGTTCGGCTTCTATGTTGCGTAGCCTCGTTTCTTGCTCGCTGAGTTTCGTCTGCAGTTTGTTGATGGTTTCTTGATACGGCGCGAACATGGCTGAGACGGCCGCTGTATTGGCGGGCTCTATGTTCTGTGCCGAAAGTTGCTGCAAAAAGGCCTGTGCTAGGAACTCGGCCACACTGTCCAGTTCACGCTGGGCCTTTTCTATTCGGGCATCGAGCAAGCGCACATTCTCAGCATACTTGAGCCGATGCATGCTCTGCACTTCTGGCACAGAAGGGAAGTCTGCGTGTTTGGTCGAGGACTTGTCATACTCGGCCTGTCGCGCCATCATGGCCTTCGCAAGGGGTTCTCTCTCCGCCATGAGCGTTGCCTTGGTAACAGCCGCCGCAGCGTATTTCTGTAACCACTCTTGAATTCTTTCAGCTGCAAAATTTTGCTCAACACCAGGGCTTTCTGCCGGTGACCGCGAGGCTGAACCTAAGTATCCAAGTCAGCGTGCTTATTGGCTTCCTGACAGCGAGGCAGAGAAAGGTAGCATGTCAGAAGTAAATATAAAACTCACTAGTCCTACTGCGAGGATCGGATCTTGCAGAGACGGCCACCGGAATGATCTTTGACGGTTTCCCAAAGGATGACGTGTCGCGGGAAGATTCAGTCGGGTTACGTCGATCCCTTGCGCTGGGTTCTGTGTCTCGGCGATGTCTCTCGTCCTTATAGGGATCGGATCCCCTCCTCGGGAAGCTGTCCCGTTGGCTCTCCCGGCCGTCCGGACCGCGGCGGTCATCCTCGGTGGGACGCCGGGAGTATGCGTCCGACGCCGACTTGTGCGACATGATGAACCGTGTTCTTCCCCAAACTAGGTCCGGAACAAGCCGCCGATCTCGCTCGACCCTCCCTCAAGCCTCCCGGGCATACGACAGTTGAGACAAAGGGCATGAGACGGCGCGCTTTGTGCCGTTATTGACCCCCGACAGTGCCCGGTCGATTTTTTGTTCGTACCGCAGAATGGTCGTAGGCGGTGACAAACAATGAAAGACGGAATGAAACGCCCGATTCAAATCTGCAGACGGTGCGCGCCACGAGGTCAATGGAGAGAGGCACGGCGCACGCAGTGTTCTTTCCAGTATTCTAGGTTATTATGGCAATGCAGTGTTCTGAAACGAAGGCAAGATTACTACTCTCTGGTGCCCCGTTTGGCGAGAAGGTTCGATTGAGCACTAGCCCCACACTGCGTAGTCCAGGCTGCTGTGTGACGTGTTTTGGCAACGAATCTGCGAGTGCCTACAATGAGCTTTGGCGCATGAAATGAGGGTAGGATGATGAGAGGCACCGAAAGAAGCTGTGCATCTCGGGAGGGAAAAAATTTATAACGGGTTCAAACTCAACAAAATTGCTGTTTGCGGGAGCTGGGGTTGGGCTTTGAGCTGGCGCGCCAAGACTACCTCTGACTTATCTGTTACATGCGATAAGTAAAAAAAAGGGCAGTTAGCACGCATGGCGCATAGATTGGCCAATGGGCTTGCAATGCAAGCGAGAAGAATTTCCAGCTTCGTCTTGCTTTGTTTGCGCAAAGCTCGAAAAAATGAGGAGAAACCAAACAGAGTTTGAAGGGCAGAGAATGCAAAAATATCAACAGAAAGAATGTAGTAATAGAAGTAGAAGTTCTTATGACCTAAGATAGAATTCTACCAGTTGGAGGTAACAATCAAGCCAGCTGCAAATATCAGACACAACCTGGGTTGCAATATCTAAGGTAGCTCCATCGAAGAGAAATGAATGTTGTTAAGGCTTGGCATTGTTACCTTAGCACTTACCAGCCACAGAGGCGCAGGGACTAACTTCTATCTTATCTACCAGCCACGAGCCCATCCTACCACATTTGGAATCCCGCGCTCATGTGGACTGAGCTGCGCTCGACCTCCACGCCAAACGTCGTCCGCTGACACCTGATCTAGCTTGCAAAATGGCTGCCGTAAGTGGCCACCTATCTTGAGAACATTAGGTAACGCTACTGGGACAAGAACTGACACCGTGATGCAGCCTGTTGTCACAGTCTCCGAGAGCAAAGAGCTCCGGGGGCTCAACCTTATCGCAGCGCACTCACACATCCGCGGACTAGGCGTTGATGCCGACACTCTCGAGCCCAGAGCTGCATCGCAGGGTCTGGTCGGGCAGGAGAAGGCGCGCAAGGCTGCTGCCGTCGTGTTGGAGATGATCAAGCAGGGCAAGATTGCCGGTCGCGCTGTGCTGATCGCCGGACCTCCCAGGTAGGTTTTGTTACATGTCAACCAACTGTGGATTCGCCGTGTGCTGACGTTAGTTTCTCCTGGCAGCACCGGAAAGACAGCCATTGCCATGGGAATGGCCCAGTCATTGGGCCCCGACGTCCCCTTTACCACCCTCGCCGCTTCCGAAATCTTCTCTCTCGAAATGTCCAAGACCGAGGCCCTCACACAGGCCTTCCGGAAGTCAATCGGCGTCAGAATCAAGGAAGAGAGCGAGATAATGGAGGGCGAAGTAGTCGAGATTCAGATTGACCGGAGCGTGACGGGCGGCGCCAAGCAGGGCAAGCTCACCATCAAGACGACCGACATGGAGGCTATCTACGATATGGGAAGTAAGATGATCGATGCCATGACCAAGGAGCGCGTGATGGCGGGCGACATTATCTCGATCGACAAGTCATCGGGGAAAATTACCAAGCTGGGCCGGTCTTACGCGCGGTCGCGCGACTACGATGCCATGGGAGTCGACACCAAGTTCCTGCAGTGCCCTGACGGCGAGTTGCAGAAGCGGAAAGAGGTTGTGCACACAGTGTCTCTGCACGAGATCGACGTCATCAACTCGCGGACCCAGGGCTTCCTGGCTCTGTTTTCCGGCGACACGGGCGAGATCAGGAGCGAGATCCGGGACCAGATCAACACCAAGATTGCCGAGTGGAAAGAGGAGGGCAAGGCAGAAATTGTGCCGGGCGTTCTTTTCATCGACGAGGTTCACATGCTCGACATCGAGTGCTTCTCCTACATCAACCGTGCGCTCGAGTCGGACCTGGCTCCTATCGTCATCATGGCCAGCAACAGAGGTCACTCCCGCCTCCGAGGTACAGATTACAAGAGCCCTCACGGTCTGCCGCTCGACTTCCTGGACCGCGTTGCCATCATCAACACACACGCCTACACCGCCGACGAGCTTCGTCAAATCCTGTCAATCCGGGCCCAAGAGGAAGAAGTCGATCTCACGCCAGATGCGCTTGCGCTGCTCACCAAGATCGGCCAAGAGGCGGGGCTGCGCTACGCGAGCAATCTCATCACCACGTCCCAGCTGATCTGCGCCAAGCGGCGCGCCAAACAGGTCGGCGTGGAGGATGTCCAGCGGAGCTTCAAGCTCTTCTACGACCCGGCCAGGAGTGTCCAGTTCGTTGCCGAGTCGGAGAAGCGGCTGATTGGCGATGACGGCGCCGTTGATTTCAGGGTCACGGCCAACGGCACCACCGGAGAGACAATGGACACGAGCTAAAGCGGGGAAATAGGTGTTTGATCTACTGCAGGCGTTCAGGGGGCGGGTGAAAATGTTTGGCTCACTGGGACGGCGCGGCTTTGATATCTTGTACAAGTACGGTAATGGATATTCATAGATGTGGGAAGAGTTGTGGTCGTTGGCGATTTTGCGCCGATTTGGTGTTGTTACGTAGCTGGAGGCCGTCTCATTGTCTTACAAGAACGTAGCAACCCGGGTCCATTCCCCATCTTCCCCTGCTCGCCGAAACTCTACGCCCTCCCCAAAGTAGCCGGCATCTTGCCATGCCTTCATTGTTGGCCCGTCAAACGGCCCCTGCTTGGCAGCATTGTCGCGTCCGTCCGTCCAACGGAATTCCCACATTTTCGTCTCCCCGGCGCCGCCTCCCTCCTCGTCACCGCCCGGTTCAGGTGGTTCCACCCAGGCTTCCCCGGTCTCGTTCCGATACTCTCTTATTAGTCGTTCTCTTTCTGTGTCGTAGATGTTCGCAAAATCCCTCTGCATCAACTTGTCTGCAGAATCAGCAATCGCGTTGATGACCTCCCTGATCTTGGCCTGTTTTGGGTCCTCGGTCTCCTTATCGGCATCGACGTCCATTGCATCCCCGCCTCCATCCCCATTGGCTTTTGACTTTCTCTGCTTCCACTTGGGAACCTTCTTGGCCTTGGGTTTTGTTGTCTGGCTCTTCCTAAGCCTCGCCAGAGCATCCAGCGCCGTCTCGCCCGGCTCCAGCCTTGCGATGAGCTCCTTGAACAGATCGCCAGTCAATATGCTGTCGTTCTCGCGCTGCAGCTTCCGCAGCTCAGCCTCGCGCTTCTCGTGCGCTGCCGCCGCCTTCTTCATCTCCTTCTTGCTGATTCCTTCGAGCCAGCGATCGTGCACGGCGTCGGCGTCGGCGGCTTTCCGGATGTAGTTACCTGCCTCGTCAAAGGCACCCTCTTCCTGCTCCGCTTTCATGTTGAAGGCGTCGATCTTTGGCGCGTGTTTTTTAAGGCCGCCTGCGCCAACTTCCTCATCTACGCCCTCTTCCGCGATGGCGGCAGCAATCGCTTCTTCATCGTCATCCTCGTCATCCTCGTCGTCACTATCCTCCCTGCCATCTATTCGCACAGTACCGCCGCTCTTGCTGGTGTCTTCTTGACCTTCGATCTCGGTATCGGCGAGAAAGCGCACCTGCTTGTCCTTCTTCTTTCCTCCTTTGCTGCTGTCGGCAAGCGTGTTTTCGCCGGCGTCAGAACCGCCAAACATGTCCACTTCATCGTCCTCAACACCGCCTCCTCCGGGACTAGCCTTGGAACTGTAGTTGTCCATCACCTCGGCTAGGTCGACATCCTCGGCCTCCTTGTCCTTCTTGCCCCTTGCTTCCGCCCTCGCATTGAGGTACTCATTTTCGGAATCGGACTCGTAGCCCTCGAGATTTACGGCGCCGCGCTTCGTTGCTCTTCCGGACGCGCCGATGACGTCTGCGTCAAGGACATTGTCGTTCTCGTCGTCTTCGTCCTGGGCGCTTGGCGCAAGAGCGGATGGGTTGCGGATATCGAACTTCACCTTCTTCGAGGTGGGTCCCTCGTCATCACGGTCTTCGCCGTGGCGAGCTCGTGCAAAAGCCTCACCGGCCCGTTTTGGGCGGGCCGCCGAAAATCTGGATGCCATGTCACTGTGATGGGGATTGCAGATGTCGTTCAGCAAGTAACTTGCGAGGAGACGACCGCAGGGCTTTTGACGTCAGCTTCAACTCGGAAGGTGGACAGTTCGCACCGTGAGATGCCTGATGCAGCTCGCGCCACAACGCCACAGGTACTAAGTAAGTGGAGGATTGCCTGAACTACTGTAGCTAGATTTCCACCTACTTACAGTACATATCCCTTACGGAATAGATAGCTTTGTACAGTACAGGGAGCTGAATACGGATACCCCGCGCTATTGCCTCAAGCTTCCAGTGGCCCAGCTGCTGCAGGAACCTTCATCACTGCGTTACCTGGCAATTCAGAAAAGACAAACTCACAAACAGCGCATAAAATAGCGGCAATTTCCATTTTACGACCACGTGGTTGAGGTATGCACTGATTAAATTACGGAATCGGTGTTTTTATCCTCCAGCAACTTCGCGTCCTCGGCTTCCGAGCTTATTGCAGCATTACATCCATCAGCAGGTCAGGTACTTGCCATCTTTCAGATCCGGCTGTCTTGGTACCAAGTTTCGGAGGACGACCTCAAGACCCCTTCTATATTCTACTTTGCGATACTCGTCCGCGATCTTGACCTGATTACCCGCAACTTCCGTGTGTTCGCACACTTTCTCCGCGAAGATGGTGAGGACCGGCCCGACATCGTGTGGTTGCTCACGGAGTTCAGCGAACTGATACCTGAACTGCAGTTTAACCCTTTCGACGCCGGCGGTGTTGATTACCGCGGCGGCCTCCGGGTCCCTCGGGCGCAACGGTTTGACGAGTACTACCGGTGCTACCCCATGATCATGGCCCCCGGGGCCGAGCGCCCCGAGCTCAACTACGGATCCAAGATCTTTCTGCCGCCATCTGCCTTAGATAAGGTGTCAAGGCTTCACGTTCAGTGGCCTATCATGCTGGAACTGATCAACGGGGCGACGGGCAAACACACACATGCCGGTGTGTTGGAGTTTGTGGCTGAGGAGGGCAGAGCGTACATTCCACAGTGGGTACGTCTTTCGGAAGCTCCTCGGAATCTTCTCGTGCGCATGGACGCAGACACTGACTGCCTGCAGATGATGCAAACGCTCCAGTTAGATGTTGGGGACATGATCCAGGTCAAGACCACCTCTCTGGAGCTCGCCAAGCTCGTCAAGCTGCAGCCCCAGTCCGTCAACTTCCTCGAGATTACCGACCCGCGCGCCGTCCTCGAAAAGGCATTTCGCAACTTTGCCGCTCTGACAAAAGGGGACGTCTTCAACTTCGAGTACAACGACGAGGTTTACGACGTGGCTGTTCTGGACGTGAAGCCTGAAACGGATAAGATGGGCGTCAGCATGATCGAGACGGATGTCAGCGTCGACTTTGCTCCGCCGGTCGGGTACGTCGAGCCGGAGCGAGTGCCGCGCGGCAGTGGCACCAGCACTCCCCGCAGCGTATATGGTGTGGGCGGCGGAGTGCCTCCCGGCGGTTTGATGTACAATCAGGGCACAATGGCACAAGCGATCAACTACGACGCCATCAAACCTGGCGCAGCGGCGGCTTCGGCGGGTAATTTCCACGGAGAAGGGCAACGGTTGAGTGCAAAGAAGGCCGGCAAAGCCCCGACGCCGAAACCCGCTGCGCCTGTGGCTGGAGCGTCAAATGTTACCAAACCGCCCAAGTCTCGAAGTAACGGCCCCGCTCCGCTTCGTCTTCCGCCGAACAAGTTGTTTCTGGGGTATGAGATTAAGCCGGTCAAGACTGCAGAGGACAAGGAGAGGGAAGCAGCAAACGCCAAGCAGCCCCATTTTGCCGGCCAGGGGCAGACATTGCGGGGCGCCTTGAAGAAGAAAGGTGAAGCAGACGATAAGAGCGGAAAATAGGCAGATCGAATATGGGAGACCGAGGTTACGGCCTAGAAGGTGGGAAGACTTCGGTGCTCACGGGAATGTCCAGTGTCTTAGACAGTTGGTTCGGTTCATTTGGTTGGCGTTGGGAGAACGGCAACTGGCATTGGGAATGGCAATGTCTTGGGGAGCGCAAACCACGAAGGGACTAGAGTGAGAAACACAGAATCAGCCAAAACGGACAGAGACGTTGCAGCGTTCGACTCACCAAGCCTTCCTGGGCGGGCGGTATTGGAAGCTCAGGATTCAAAGCAGTTGAGAGTCAGGGTATCTGCCAGCCTACCTGTCTCGTGGACTTCTAGTGTGGCCATATTCCCGCAAGAAGATGCCCGCATCATGTTGACGAGTCATTACCTTGTGTTGTTACATCTCGGCACACTTTCAATTTCACAATTTGATATGCTCTAAGTTGCGTTCATCGGCTACCTACGGAGGAAAGGGACAGTGCGAGGTAACCGTGCGCTTAGTGATAAATGTACGGATTGCTGCAAGCGACCCCACCCGGAGCTGTGGACCGGCCATCTGCCTGTCATCGTCGAAGCTCGATTTGCGGGCCACCACAAAGTTCCAATTGCTGCATCCGATTAATTTGGTGGCTTTCATCGATCCTTCTCAACACGTTGCACTTCCATTACCTCCGTGCCAGGAAATTCCAGGCCGCAATCTTGGGTGGCGCAGCTGTTACCTTCCCATAGACGTAGCAGCGGAAAATCGTCATGAGGACTCGCGGCGAGGCCACGGGTCCTGTACCCGCTGCATCGGCAGCAACGACTCGCAATCTGCGGCCGCGCCAAGCATCCGGAGTTCGGTCTTCGCCGGCAGGTGTTACCATTCCGAGAGCCGGTGGCCGGGTGACAAGGAGCTCGGCGGCGCTCACCCAATCCGACTCTGCCAATGCGGTTGCGGTGCCACAAGCTATCACCCTGACCCCCCAGTTGCGCAAGCGATTCCGATTTTCAGGCGACAGCGCAGCTCAACGAGCGACAAAGCGGCCTCGTCATTCCCATCGCAGTCGGGGTTTTTACGATGAAGATAGCGATAGCGGGGATGAGCTCGACAACCCCTACATCACCCCCGGTTCCGATGTGGAGCAGGAAGCCAATACCCGCCGACTGAGAGCCACCAAGTCCGCGACCCCCAAAAAGTCGGCCGATCCAGTTCGGGTAACAAAGAGCCCGCGTCGGCTTGCTACTGTGAAGCATCCATCACCCAAAGACGCCCAGGTCGTGACTGAAATTGAAGTCATCCCAGACTGGGCCAGCCTGCCGTACCACGTCCTGGTCCAGATCTTTCGATATGCCGCATCGCCGCTCGCCGAGCTTCAGCAAGCAAGATGGCTGGTCGCAGCAAGTGGTGTCTGCCGCGCATTCGCAGAGCCAGCGCTTACCGCGCTTTACGAGACCCCTCCGTTGTTCAGTCGGTCGATGGCTCACGGCCTAGTGTCGCTGCTGTCCAAAGACCCCTCCACCACCCTCTTCAACTACAGGCCGAAAGTCAAAGAGCTCTGGATCGATGTTGACGAGATTGCCTCCAAGACGTACAAGGGTCAACCACTTGACCTCAGAAATCTGATTGGCAACCTCCCTCAGCTGAAGTCCGTCCAGTTCTCTCACCATAAGGATCTCCCGCCGTACCGGTCCTTGGACGGCAGCCTGCGTTGGCACTACCCTGTCTCCTTTTTCGAAGCCCTCAGCGGAAATCGAAATGCGGCCGAAGGGGCAAACATTGCCGATCAGACACAGCTCCATGGGTGGCAGTGGAATAGACGGCTGATGGGTCCGGATCTGAACCTCGCTGGTCTCAAGGCACTTCACCAAACGCCGCCCTTCCAGGGCCTGAAAAAGGTCTCGTTCGTCAATTATCAGGTGCCTTCGCTTCACGCGAAAGCAAGCGCCGATGAAGCCGAGTTGGCTGCGAGGGACCTCGACTTCATCCAAGGCCTGGCGAGCGCAATCACCGTCCTGCCAGCCCTGGAGCATCTCTCGATTGAGTCCTCCACTGCAGCCAACGACCAGCTGCTTCCTCTGTTGCCCAAGACTCTCAAAACGCTCGAGCTTGTCAACTGCTGGGATGTGAACGGGGAGGACTTTGCCGACTACCTTCTCGCGAGCGGACGCTATCTGAAGAACCTAATCCTGAGGCACAATCAGTCCCTAAGCGCGTCGTTTTTGACGGTTTTGGGAACCGCTTGCCCGAACTTGCAAGTCCTGTCGATCGATTTCAAAACCTACAACCACCATGAATTCTATCATGACTCTGACCCGAGCTACGACCAGCTGCTCACTGCCGACCAAATCCCAGACTGGCCATCTAATCTGGAGACGCTCCAGCTTCTGAACATGAAGAAGTGGACGGCCGAGGCAGCTGAGACCCTTTTACAATCTCTGGTTGACAATGCGCCGAAGCTACTCAGACTTCGCCGGCTGGACCTGAAGGCCATGTTGAGCATCCCCATTCAAGAGCGTTCGCGACTACGCAACAAGTGGGACCGCAAATTACGGCACGTCTTCCTGCGCGCTAAGGAGGATCCTCAGCCTCTGTTCTCCCTGCGAAACCCATCACACAAAGCGCTTAACGGGGCAGTGAAGAACACCTCGAATCAGTCACGCAAAACCGCCCGCGGCACTCTCCCCGCTGGGAGTCCGTCACGTCGCAGCGGCCGGATTGCGGTGAAAAGTTCGAATTCCTCATCGCGCGCCAGTAGTGTCGGCCGAGACTTGAGGAGTCTCGGCCGCCCATCATATGCCGAGCCTGATACGGATGAGGATGAGATTGACGACGAAGAGGAGGAGCAGGAGAAAGGAGAGGAGGCGGTACGCTCGAGCGATGAGAGCCAACCTGCGTCGCCGACAGCTTTGGCGGCGCCCCCGAAGGAGACACCCTTTCGCCATGGTATGTGCGAGAAGGTCGAGATCCAGCTCGATAACCAGAAGTCAGCTGAGACGACGCTCACCATGGACGATTTCCTGGATAGCGAGAATGAGGACCTCTCGGATGACGACTGGTATGTCCTGCATGAACTCTTCTTGCCCCTGACAACTGTCTCGGGAACATGTCTTACTTCCCGAGGCCGGGTTTTCCCGGCCCGGATGATTGAATGGGTGTAGTTTAACTGACGTTGTGGTGCAGGGTCGGCGACGATGAGGATTTTGATAGTGGATATGCTTGGTGAGCAAGTTCACTGCGGCCTCTTGATATACGGGTTTTTTTTGTTTCTTTATACCTTATGTATCCTTACGGAGGGTTATTGACATGTGGTCTGTTGACGGGTTGCATTGACTGGGTGGGCATTGGGCTCTGGGAGACGAGGCCCTTGATTGCATTGGCGGCGTCCATTGGCTTGGCTTCGACTTGCTTTCACTTTGCTGGTTTGGAAAAGGAAGGATGAACTCTATTCTGGCTTTCTGGCTTTCAGGAACGGGATTTCATACGAGAACCGGAGGCTGTTTTGCATTTATGGGTTGAGTTGACTTGCTTGAAAGTTCAGGAGAACCTATCTCTCCCTGGGAGGGTGGTTGACATGGCCCAGGCTGGCCATGCCACCATGGCTTGTCACTTGGATGTCGATGCAAGTTGGCATTGTATCCAGGAACTTGACTGAGGATCTGGGTAGCTTTGTGGGAGCAGCCATGCAGACCTACATAGATAGATCCGACCCCAAATCTGTTGTTCAGTATTGCAATGTTGACCACGCTCCGGGCCCTGTAGCGTGCCTGACCTTGGGATTCATGGCTAGCTTCGTGTCCTCAAGTCTCACCAACAGTTCAAACCAACCCAACAAATGACCGCAGCATCTCTGTTCCGTTACGGACAGGGGAGGAGTGACCCAGCCATCCCATGAAACGAGCAACCTGTGCTCTCTAAGCGCCCTGCTTGCCGTTTGCAATCCATCTGATACCGGCTAGGCACACCGAAGTTGCGCTCTCGTTGGACATCAGGGGAAACAAGCCGTTTTGGAAGGTTGTATCATTTTGTACCATGTTCATCAGCAGGCATAAGATTAGGACTGCTGTCATCGTACCAGTCAAGTCTTTGGCATCCGGCCTCTGTCTTCCTGGAGGTTCTTCATGTGATCATTGAAACGAATATAAGCTCAAAGGCAGCGCAACTGCTCCCCGGAGGTTGTTCAAGGGAATACCTCGACGGCATAGCTCCGACTCAGTACGATTTGTATTTGTATCATGGAAGCGCTGGGAGGAAAGCTTCCAGGGACTGGGAATAAGTTGGGGTCTTGGGCGCGAGTTCCGCTGAGCCGGCCAAAATATTTCCCCTTTGTTTCTAACGGAGTGTTTGAATGAGGTATTCGCGAGCACACATTTCTTTCCGATTGTTGGACCCAGCCTTTAAATCACGCCACTGAGCCTTTGTTCCAAAGAGTTAAGGTACTTTTACTGAGTATAAGTACCATGGGCCCACAGATATGAGAAGAAACAGAAGACATACCTTATACATACCACCAAGGAGGCCAGGCTTGAGCTTTGCGGTGACGATCATCGTACCAGAGCTTCCGTTGGCATCTCCTATGGCAGGGTCGTTTGATTCTCTGCAGACAGCTTTGGCTGATGTTGATTCCATGTGCGAAATCATACATGAGTAACATGACACATCTGGGAATTTGAAGCTGAACACAATTTCCGCAACAGCTCTGCCAACATAGTGGACTTCTTACTTGGGATCTGGTAGAGTCAATGGTGGTTCGGGGTAGACAGGGCTTCACAGTCCAGCCTTGGTTTGTTCGTTAGCGTAACACAAGACATGGACCAGACATGGAATAGAAAAATGAAAATCAAGGAAACAAGAGAATAAGGAAGACAAAAAGACAAGTATAGAAAATAAAAATAAGAAGCTAAGAGTAGATAGCAAAGGAAGGCAAAGATAAAGACAGAGAGGAAGAGGTGAAAAAAGAGGGTAAGAATCCAAGAAGGTCAAAGTGAAAGCCGAAGAAACGTAGATACCTACGTTCCGCGCTAACAAACAACAAACCAGGGTCAAACTATAGTATGAACTCTGCATCATTTTCTTGCCACCTTGAATCGGACCTGATTTTCATGGCGAGGTATCAAGCATCCCAGGAAGTGCAGCCTCCATGACGACACGACGATATGTTCCCATGTCTACTTGAGTTTCGGCATTCCTAATCAGCAAGTCTAGTTGCCCTGTTCATTGAGGTTTTGATGAAGCTCCAGCTTGCTGTATTGCTGTAATTCTGACCCGGAGCCGGTTCCAGCTGCCTTTTTTCAGTGATGGATTCCCGTCCCAGGTCAATTCTGAGCAGGCTTCTTGTTCTTAATTCTCCGTAACCAGCATTCGTATCGCCGGCGTTTGCTTGGATGCTGGGGTCAATCGTGGATACATTTCAGGTTTGCTGGCTCCTGTCAGATGCCTTACCGAGCAGCTGTCTTCAGGGCAATGTCCGAGCACACACAATGCAATGCAGTCCTCTGAGTGCTGATGCTCGGGGCTTAGAGCATTTCCGGCTTTGCAAAACATCACAATTTCGCCCATCCTGTTGGTTTCGCCGCCCAGATAGATCCTAGAGTAAGAGCATCAATCTCCGAGTCCTTTTGAAGCTTTGGAAAGCAGGCAAGCTTTGATTTTGTTCTGCGGCCCCACATTCGCTTTTTAGCTGCCCGGCCTCTCGGCACCAAACAGCTCGAGAGCCGCTAATAAAGAAGAGGGGAAGCCATGCCCTTAACTGATGCATTGTACACCGGGTGATTTTCCCTTGGAGTAGGGTTGAATTGTCTTGTGTGATTGACAGGGTTGCGTTAGCAAGCTACGCCCGCTGACACGGACTTTTGCGTACCGGGCTTCGTACCCTGCTACCGCGCTCGCCGCTAGCCGTTCACAGTCGGAGAACGGAGCCTTGCCCCACGACACGACCAGGGCCGTTGAGCGGCACGAATCAACAACAGCGATCGCGATATGAGAATCTCCTCGACTCGGGAACTACAGCACGCGTCTCTCACATTCTTCCTCTCTCAGCCGCTGCTCCACAGCCGTACTCCTATTTTGACGCCCTGATTGTAACGCCCCATCCTGTATCCGATGCATTGATGTCTATACGCTTTTGATTCCAGCAACAGCCTGGCTTATCTGGCCTGCTGTCGTGTGCACACCTGAATGGGCCGACTCGGTCTGATCGAGAATTCCTGTCTTTTCATTCTCTCTCACACATCTTCACCCTTAATCCAGCTGCCTTTAGCTGATACACGAGAGCAGCAGTCGCATTACCCAGTGGGTTTCTGCCACTGTCTTGTTCAAGCTATCAGACCGGGGGTTCACTTGCCTCAACCCTTCAGGTTTTATCACATCTCATTCGCAACAGACTCTCGTCTTCTCTCGGGCCACGGGCTATTATCATCTAAAGGCTTTTCCATCCTCATTTATTCCCGGTGGAACCCTCCATCTTATAACTCATCTCAACCTTGAACCCTTCGACTTGGAGTCCCGTCGCCAGCTCCGTCCACTTGCTCGTCTTCAAGACTCAACACCATTACACCCACCCTCTACATCGCCCCCGTTCGCCGGACAATGCGGCCTTCTCGCTCTGTTGCACGGCCGCACTGACAATCTCGGCCTCCTTAACTCTGCTCAAGCATCCATCACCGCTCCTTGGCGTAGCTGTGATCGATTCAGCCATGACGAACGCTAGCTGCCACCATCGCGGTCTGCCTTTCCTACATCGGAACTGGCTCAAGACCACGAACTACTGGGACCCTAAGATGGCCATTACGTCTTCGTCAGAGTCACGCGACGCCGGCGACAAGCCTGCTGACAACGACCATCCGTCGAATCGCCCAGCAAAGCGTCGCCGCATCGACAATGACTACGATGGCTTCCCGCTGTTCGAGAATTACGCTACCGCCCAACGCGCCCTTCGCATTGAGGTTCTGAAGATCAGCCACAAGGACTCGCCCAGGGTGAAGAACGGCATCCTCAATGGCGTCATTCCCCCAAACATCCGCGATGTTGTCCAGATCAAGGCCCGTTGCAAGCTCACCATATGCGGTCACAAGGGCGGCGAGCCCGTCGTCCTCCACGTTGACAGCCAAGTCTGCGACATCCGCATCTTCAAGAACCCGGCTGGCTCGTCTCCCATGGCACGTTTCTCTTCTATCACGCCTTTCCACATCCCCGAGGAGAAGATCTACCTTGAACGCGACGATGATGCCATCTTCGGACTGGCCAAATGCTACTCAGTGCTCGTCGAGTTGGAGTCTGCCGGCGATGCCAACTGGCCGCCGACCGACCTGGTCCCCATCAGCGATGAGGACACCTTCTATAGCCGGGGTCTCCCGTCACGGCAATGGGTGCTCACCGCCAACATCGCTGATCTCTTCAGCAGCCGCAACCGCAAGTCGGTCCGCTTGCGCGTCAAGAAACACCCTCTGGGAGATGTCGCCACCAACTTTATCATGGACATGGATGTGCGCTGGCTAACAGCCATTTCGAGCCAGCAGAAGGCGAGGGAGCATTCTAAGGACATCCTGCCCTCTATCTCTGTCTATGACCCAAATCAGCCCGTTGTGCCTGTTGTTAACGGCAACATCAAGTCCGCCATCGTCAATGGAGTGAATGGGCATCACCGTGAGCTTCTGGTCAATGGCGAAGGCGACATCACGCTAAATGGGCAGTCAAATGGCACGGTCGTTGACCCGGTCGAAGAGTTGGCTGAGGGCGAGCTAACCCCCGGTCGCTCGCGGCGGACGAGGCAGGACATCAACTACAACGTCAAGCAGATGTGGAACAAGCAAGTCGGAAGGGAGACCAGGAAGCGGCGGAAGCTTGGTGACGAACATGGCCAGGTGGACGAGCATACTATTACGTATCTGCTCCCTCCAGAACAGGTCCAGACAGACAAGTTTGCCTGCCTGCTGTGTGGCGCTGAGAACGACAGACTCAGTCAGCTGCGTGCCCACTACCAGTGCCACCCGCAGTATGATTTCCACTTTGAATTCAAGCCCAAAGTTGGATACTGCGTCACTGTAAAGCCCAATGCCAACAGTCTAGGGTCTCCGCTGAGACCTAGGGTGTACCAGCTGGGTCTGCCGGTGAAGCCCCTTGACCTGGACAAGTACGTCAACGGAGACGACTCCTGGGTCACCTCCCGCCTTGGCCCGGATGACGGCCGTGAAGTATTTCAGGAAACCGCTCCCAAGGCGGCTCGGACCGTGAGCTACCTGTATCTTTACCACCGCATTCTTTTCTTGGATAGCTGACAGAAGCGCTAGAAACCAACCGCAAAGCGGACCCGGAAGAAGGTCCTCGTCCCCAAGACCAAGACTCCCCTGTTCGACCCCCTCAGCAAAGCCCAACTACAACCGGGCACCCCGGTACCCCAGCACGCCATCGACGACTCGTGGTTGCTCCTCAAGCATCGCGACAACCTGCAAGATTTCATCGACCTCAACGCCGAGGAAAAGGAGTACCAGCAGGAGTGGGACGCCTTCATCCTGCCGAAACACATCTCGTCGGAGCAGTATCTGCCCCGCCACTTTTTGCGCTTTGTCCGCGACAAGGCCGCCTGGCTCGTGGCCAAGCCGTCCCGCGCCGACGAGTTCAGCAAGCACGTGGCCACGCTCCTGGCCCGCAGGGTGCTTCCCGAGTCCGTCATCCACGAGGCCACGCAGCTGCTGAACGACGCGCGCGCTCGCCGGGTCGCCAGGGGCGAGGGGCATGGGCATGGGCAGCGGCGGCAGCAGGAGGTTGGGGAGACGGAGGACGAGGAGTCAGCCCTACATGTTAGGACCAAGGCTACGGGCGGCTGCTGTGCCGAGTGTGGGCGGCCTGTGCCCGTACCGGCTATGCTGGTGTGCGCTAATTTGGTGTGTCCTTTTAGTCCGCTTTCTTATTCTCCCTCTGTGGGTTTTATTGAGCTCTGGATGGTTGCTAATTGTTGGTGAACGACGTTAGGAATGCAAGAATCGCCTCTATCACGACGCTTGCGTGGAGAATACCGACGAGGCGGTGGCTAGGAGGGAACAGTGGAAGTGCAAGGCGTGTGTGTAGGCTGGGTTTGGAGGATTGCAGAGATACGATGGGAACGCGGGGGCAAGCGAACATGAGGCAGATGTGGCGTGAGAAAGAGGTTTAATTAGGTGGGCAGTGGATTCGAGATACTTGAGGTAGTAACGGGGGGAGGTATGGGGCGGAGATGGCGATATCATCTTGCGAGTCCATCTGTGATTTACGCCATAAAACCTGGCGGGGGTTGGAATGTGCTTCCGCGATATGAGCCTCCTGGGAGCTGTGGCAGTTCGTGATATCACAGCTCAAAGCGCTCGGCCACTCGGTAGCTGACTACCCTACATGCTCATGGGCGGCACGCTCATATGGCTCACTGCCAGAAATGAACTTGGAGTCAGATGCGGCCTATGTTCAATATTCCAACACAAATGGATGATTGAAGGAGATTCTGTGGTATCGTTTGTTTATTGCCTCTTCCTCTCGATCAGCAGATATTATGGCCCTCATAATACTCCACGGGAAAGACCATGAATAAGAGTAGCGAGAAGGATCACTAACAGGTCTAACCTTGCGCTTGGGACACCGTATAGGAATAGGAGCGAGAAGAAAGAAAGCGTAAGATAGAGAAGGTGGAAGGAGGGGACGAAAATCTAAGGTAACCGACCTAGACGTCTCAACGTTCTGAAGACCCCTTCAAGGAATGTGGTTTGTGAGCCGATTCCGACGAGAGCGTATACAGGCCACATAGACGGCCGAAACGGCCACGTTGAATAATGAAGTGTGTGGCTTTCAAATCCTCTGGTCGGGACATGTAGACGGTGCGTCGACATACAATCCGGCCTTTACTTGTCCTCCAAGCAACAGAAGCAACACGTACCTTCAGGCAGCTCGGCTCATCGTCCGCAGCCACTCGTCCAAATACCTATGTGGTCTTGGATGTGCCGAATATGAACCGTACACAACCCCCTTTCAACTAACTGGTTGAGTTGATTTGAGCTTGGTTAACAACAGTCTTGAAGCGTAAATCGAATTCAACTCTGAACTCCGGTGCGGCATCCTCCTGAAGCCAGCAGCCGGTCTCCATCAATAAAAGGTAGGGAGTCCCTTCCAGACCAGCTACTTGGATTGGTGCTTGTAGGCCCGTTGACATTAGCAAGAATATAAAAAGCACTCCTGTTTGGTGCATCTAGATGTAAACAAGGCGCGAGACGAGGAACCATACTCTGGTTTCTTCGTCATCTCCTGTTTCCCTTGCGTCACTTCTTTCAAGTCGTACATTTCTCTGCCTAGCTAACATATTCCCTTAGCGCTCTTGGTAGGCCTGATGCCGATTTTGCAGCACACACGACGTGATTATGCTCCAAGGGAACATCTACACAACTTATTTGGCAGACCGAGATTTGGGTCCCCTACATTGACAGATTCTCTCTACCTTTCTGGCCAAGCACACCCCTAGACAAATGCAGACCTAGACCTTGACCTCAGCGCCACCAAATGGCAAGACGGATGGACTTTACAAACTCGTCATCAGGAGAATTAAATCTTCACTCCACTGCATTCCGTGTTGAAGGACCAAACGGAACTATCCACCTACCCGTCCATCTGCCAGAAACCGACGCGCCTGAACGCCCCAGTCATGCCATTAACAACCCATCTGCGGTTCGCTATATTCCCACATACAATTTCGACACCTTTATCACCCTACCTCCTCCCCTTCGCCCTCTCCCCCCTCCTCTCCTCTTCCCGCCTCTGCTTCTTCCTGCTCTCCTGCGCAATCATGTCAATCAGGTCCTCCTCGTACGCCGTGCGCTGCCACTGCGCACCGACACCTTCCTCCCTGCGGCCCGCCTCAAACTTGCGCCGCAGGTCCTCCTTGTTGATGCCGCCCGAGGCCGCCAGCGCGTCCGGGTCGAGCGCGACATCCACATCACCGGGCTTCTTGCGCTTGCGCGACGCGTCCTCGTCCTGCCCCAGCACCGGCACGGCAGGCGGGGGGCCTGAGGGTGGCTTCTTGGACAAGTCGTACGTCTTGTCGCTGCCAAAGAAGCCTTCGGCGCGGCCGTGGCGCTCCGGGATGACGGTGTAGGCCTGGCGCGGCCCGCCGTACGAGGATTCTTCCGTCTCAAAGCCGCCGCGGCGCGTCTTGCGCAGGTCGAACTCGCCCGCCATGCTCGTCTCGACGCCCGCCGGCGCATGCATGTCGGTGTGCAACCCGGTGGTGTACCCGCCGGGGGTCTCGAGCCCGCTGACTGTCTCGGTGCCGCCGGGTGGGATGTCGCCTGCTTCCGAGCCTTCCTCCTCTTCCTCCTCCTCTTCAGATTCTTCTTCTTCGGATTCCTCGGCGGGCGGTTGGAGTTCGCCCCAGAGGGTGCGATCGATGGGCTCGCTGAGTCCGGCAGCTGTAACAATTTGGGGTTGTTGGTAGGGCGCGGCGGCGCCCGGCTGGCCGGGGGCCATGATGCCGAAGATGTCGCCGCCGTAGAGGGGCCGGTTGTATTCGTCGAGTGGAGGCTTGCCCCATTGCCCGGGCTGGAAGCCCCATGCTGCTCCCGGGGGCAGGGGCGCGTTCAGGCCAGGGATCTTGAGGGTCGGGTAGGATGGAGGAGGGCCAACGCGCTGTTGTTGGAGCAGCCAGGGGGGCGGGAAGCCAGGCTGCATGCCGAGCGCTTCTCGCAATGCGTCGCTGATCTCGCCGGGTTTGAACACCTTGTAGTCTGCCTCCCACTCTTTGCCTTCGTAGTACACGTCGCCGAACCGTGTCAGGTCAGGCTTTGTTTGATGTCGGAAGAAGGCGTCATAGAGCTTCTGGTAGTCGATGTCGAGCTTGCCCATTTTAGGTTGCACCCTCTCGCGCTGTTTCTGCTTGAGTGTCTGTTCGGCCTGTTTTTCGAGGATGGCATCGCGCATCTCGGTGATGCCGGTGTCGGCGATGAACTTCGGCAGCTTGAAGGGCGGCTTCTCGATACCCCTTTTGCTGGAGAGGTATTCACGCTTCAGAGACCAATGACCCGGCACAGGGACGATGTTGCGCTGGGCCTTGATCTGAACCAGAAGGCGAGGATCTGAAGACGACACATCGTGCCATTCGACGACCTCGGGATTCCGCACCAAGGCCTTGAGCTCGGCAATCGATAGCTTGTTCAGCTTCTTCCGTTTCTTCTTAGACAGCTTTGGCTGCGCCTCTTCGTCCTCGCTGGGAATCTCGTCGTCTTGGTCAAAGAAAACTTCGCCTTTCTTGCCCGCGTTGGTTTCTCTCGTAGTCTCGCCATCCTCCAGGCTCATGCCAAACTTCTCGAAGATGCTTTTGTATTCCGCGAACGCAGGATCTTCCTCAACAAGTAGGTTATCGATGGGGCCGTCGGCATCAATCTTGTCAGATGCGTCTGGGTCTTTCTTGACCTCGAGATCGGAGGGTTTGCTCTCCTCGTCTACGGGTGTCTCTTCCTTGCTCGGTTCTTCGGCCTTGACCTCTGGTTCCTTGGATCCGTTTTGCTACGGCGGTCAGCTGGATGTGCCGGCACGAGAAGGGGCGATGGACTCGAGACACTCACCTCAGCCTGGGCCTTCTTCTGTTCCTTCTTCTTGGCCCGGCGCATCTGGTTCTTGGTCATCTTTGGCGCCGCCATCTGCCGGTTGTGAGCCGGTGGCCCAGATCGTTTTTGTGGGCCGAAGATCTGAATTATTCAGGGTAGTCTGGTTGCTATTCAAACGGCCGCTGGCTGAAGGGTCGTTGGGCAGTAGTTGCAGTTGCACATTGTTTGGTCACTTTTGGTGGAGCTGCACGCGACCTGGCTTATCTCGAATGCGTGCCAAAAGTTTGAGAGCAGATTGAGCTGTGGCTCGTTGTGGCAGAAAGCAGCCCAGTGGGAGCTGTGGCGGTGGCCCGGCCTTCGTGGGCCGCGCCTGCAGCCGTACGGATCCGTGCAGGCCCGTGTGCAGCAGTGGACTGGGGCCGCCAAGAAAGTTTATTTGACCACCCGAAACGGCTCGTGGCACATTGAACATCCATCGCGCCCCTCCGATACGAAACATCAGTGCACCGTCAATTGCCGCGAACTTTGTCTCTGCTTGTGTGGGACCGAGACGGAACGCGCAACAGTGGACGGGGAAGTCGTCATGATTTAGATCCGCTGGCGGCGCGACAGCACTTTTTACTCACTTTATTCCCTGTCCGGACGTCTGCTACGCTCGCCCATTCGTTTGTTCGAGTCGATCGAGTGTCTTTACCGCATTCGCAGCGCTTCGCAGCGTAATGCCGCATTCTCATTCCGCGTCGCTTTCGACCGGCTCCCACATTCGGGCTGCGTCACAATCTCGCTCGTCGTCCGGTCGAACTTTTGCCGAATCGAACAGCGGCACGGGACAGGGCGAAACCGAGAAGTTCCCCGACTTCGACGACGGCCATCTGTTTCCAAGCGGGCAAACTCCAGGCCAGCGCTGGCAGCAGAACGGCTTTGCTAATGGAAATGGCAATGCTGCAAACTCGGGCAGCCGGCATGCTCGCAGGGATAGCAGGGTGAGATGGGCTCCCCGAGAACCCATCTCTGGCCCGTCGGGCCACGGCCGGATGAGCAGCATCAGCAATACCGTGCACAGAATGCGCTCGGCCAGTATGAGCCAGAATGCACACGAGATTGCAGAAGCCCTTCGCGCACCCGTCTCGTGGAAGTTAATAGTATGCTATATACCCCGGGGTTTGTGTGTGGAAATAGACGGCGATTGATACTGATTTTTCTTTTCCGTAGGCGTTGTGCGTTATGTGGTACTGGTCGTCCGCCCTGACCAACACGTCCTCCAAGGCGATCCTCACAGCTTTCGACAAGCCGGCGACCTTGACCATGGTCCAGTTCGCCTTTGTCTCGTCATACTGCCTCCTGTTCTCCTTCCTGGCATCCACCTTTCCCCAACTGCGTGCCGCCGTCCCGGCACTCAGACATCCGATTCGGTATCCCTCCCGAGACGTGATCAGGACGACACTACCGCTCGCAGCCTTCCAAATAGGGGGCCACCTCCTAAGCTCCAACGCCACCTCCAAGATCCCTGTTTCCCTCGTGCACACTATCAAGGGTCTCTCTCCGCTTTTCACTGTCCTGGCCTACCGCTTCATCTTCGACATTCGGTACCCCAAGGCGACATACTTCTCCCTCATCCCGCTCACGATTGGCGTCATGCTCGCCTGCTCAGGCCACCGCTCCTTCGGCGGCCAATTCCTTGGCATTCTCTACGCCCTGCTTGCCGCCATCATCTTTGTAACCCAAAACATATTTTCCAAGCGTCTCTTTAACGAGGCGGCGCGCGTAGAGCAAGAAGGGCCCAACGCCCAATCCCGCAAGCTCGACAAGCTCAACCTGCTCTGCTACTCGTCAGGCATGGCCTTTCTTCTCACAGGCCCCATCTGGCTGTGGTCTGAAGGTATCGACATCATCGGCGACTTCCTATGGGACGGCAGCGTGGACCTGATCCAGAGCCCCAACTCGCTCGACCACGGGCCGCTGGTGCTCGAGTACATCTTCAACGGCACCTTCCACTTTGCCCAGAACATCCTCGCTTTTGTCCTACTGTCCATGGTTTCGCCCGTCACGTACTCGGTCGCGTCGCTCATCAAGCGCGTCTTCGTCATCATCATCGCCATCATCTGGTTCCGCAGCCCGACCACAAAGGTCCAAGCCGCCGGCATTGCGCTGACCTTTCTGGGGCTGTACCTGTACGATCGCAGCAACGAGAAGAACAAGGCCGACCAGCGCGCGCGGTCCATGACGGAGACGAGGTTGAAGCAGGACGCTACCCTCCTCCCGCTGACCACCAAGCATGCCGCTCCCCCGGGGGTGGGCGGCCAGATGAACGGGTCGGCGGCGATGGTGTTTGAAAACCCCGTGGCCGTGGTCGAGACAGCAGCGGCAACGGGACATGTCTACACGCCGGGCAGCGCGGCGGCGGCGGCGTTTGCGTCGAGCAGTGTCGTGAAAGACAACAAGAAGTCGGATGATGTGGGCGGACGCGCCGGCGGGCGGAATCGTGGGGCCAGCAATGCCGCCTGGCGGCCGCCAGGGACGAGGCAGGAGGATACCTGGCGGAGCGGGGACGGGCAGGCGATGGCTGCTAGGTAGCGGGACATGTGTTAACGAGAGCAAGCTTGTGTTGGGTTCATGATATTAGGATGGGATGTCTGGTTGGGTATGATTCAGTGGGTGGCATTGGGAAGAGTCCCGGTGCCGACCTGTGCTAGATGTTTTCTCCCATCGTATACACCGAGGGCTACTAGAGGCGTTTTTGCACGGTTATTGTTTTGAAAACTAAGGGGGCTGGACAGTTCGTTGTATGAGTATCATGCATAAAATAGAGCTGCATCTCACACTGATCCTCTCTGCTTCCCTCATTCAATCAACCAGTCTTCGACCTCCACGCCAATCCCCCTCCCCAGCCCCCTTATCACCTCCCACCCAACATTCACCCTCCACTTGCCCCCGCAGTCCATCAAGTCCCCGGTCGCGCCGCCGCCAACACGTACTAACAACCTCAGGCTCGCCAGCGTGGCGATCGCCATGCCAATATCCGCATGACCTTCCTCCTTATTGTCACCATGATCACGAGTATTACCGGCCTCCCACTCCCCGCGCACCGCCGCGAAGATGGCCAGCATCCGCTCCAGGACAAAGGCGTGCGAGCCGAGCAGCTTGCGCGCAATCTTGCGGTGCTTGCTGCGCGGCCGCCCGCCGACAGAGGGCCCGCCGCCACGGCGTCGGCGTCGGCCGTGGTAGTGGGTCGAGAAGAGGGTTATGTCGTGCTTGGTGGCATTGTGCGAAGCCAGGTAGGAGGCGAGAAGGAGGAGGCGCGGGGTGGTTGGAAGGAGGGTCGCGAGGGCGGTGCCGGCGCCGGATCCGGTGGCGGTGGCGGTGGAGGTAAGAACGCCTGGGTCGAGGAGACGCTCGTTTTGGAAGTGCACTCGCGCGGCGATCAGCAGCTTGGAGAATTCGCGTGGCGAGTGGGTGCCGGCGTGGACGGGCGCTGTGAAGCGGGGCCAGAGGGCGGTGCAGGCGTGGTGGAAGGATGGCAGGGTGCGCGAAGCGGCGCGGGCGAGAGCATCGTGGACGGCGGCGGTGAAGCGCGTCCAAAGGTCGGCTGTTTCCTGCGGAGATGTATTGGGCAGCGCGGGCGGCGGGGAGGCTGAGACAATAGAGACGAAGTCTGTCTTGGTGTAGGTTGGGAAGTGGAGATGGGGAACAGAGGAGGTGAGGAGGAAGCGAGGCGGTGGTGAGGTGACGATAAAGACGGTGGTCAGGGATGAAATCTGGCGAGAGGTTAGTATGCGTAATGCGATACCCGTGGAACAGAAGGTTTAACTCACAATTTCGGACAGTCTCGCTAGAGCTGGCACCAGAGTGTGGGGTGCATCTCGCTGGCGGTCGATGCCGTCAAAGACGAGCACGAAGTGAAAGCCGGCCGGACGAGGGGTGTACTTGAGCAGCTTAACCAGCTCGACGGTCAGCTGGGACACTGTCTCACACCTCGAAGGTGCGCCATCCCATGACAGGGCATTGGCAACTTTGCTAACAACAGTCTCGTACAGATGGCGGGCCGTGATGCATTCTGCCGAGTTGACAATGGCATGGCTCAGAATGAAACCTTCATCTTCGGTTCGGTCTGCGAGCCTGGCCAGTAGTGCAGCCGTGATGGCGCTCTTGCCCGTGGCTTCGGTGCCGTGAATCACCAGGTTTCGACACGGGGCAGCACCGGGCTGTCAGGTCGTTAGCACCTGATAATGTTCCCAAAAAAGAAAGAGAAAGAGAGAGAAAGAGAGAGAAAGAGAGAGAAAGAGAGAGAAAGAGAGAGAAAGAGAGAGAAAGAGAGAGAAAGAGAGAGAAAGAGAGAGA